TCAAACTTACCACTTAATGCTAATGAAGAAAGTCTACCCTGGTATATGCTGTACTGTACATCAATTGCAATCCCATTCTAACACCTTGCCTGCAAGTATTAATTTGAAGAGAGATTATACTACTTGCTGGAAACCTCAGGAAGGGAGAATGCTCTTGTATTCGGGCCCTGCTTGTGGGTTTCCCACAGGCATCTATTTGGCCACTGGCCTGATCCAACAGGCTCTTCTTATTTTCTTGTGTTTTACTCCACCCACCCCTCAATAGTGGAAAGTGGCATTACACAAGTGTATTTGCCCATGGTGTGCACACTTACCACAACACAGTTGGTAACTAGAAATAATGATACTGAGCTACCATTTTCGGCTTTTAAAAAAATACCCTCCAGTTTCAGGTTTCAACAAATGAAATCAGCCATATGTTAGACGAAGAGACATTAAGAAGGCAGTAGGGTAAAATAACAGGTTTTTCTATGGATTTTACTGTCTCACCTCACCATTACCCATTTCTATAATGCATAATAGCTTTACGCTGTGCTACACTGCCATATGGGCAGTGATAGCTGTTCAGTGCAGTAGTGCCACCCTCTCTTATTTGCCACGGACCACAAACTGCCTGTTGATGGCCTTGCTAATGAACATGAAATTGAATTACACTCTGATTTCTCCTAAAATTTACCCCTGTAGAATAATCCAAGCACAGCACAGTTCCCTATCATAAAAATGTCACAAAAACATCTGCTTTTCTGTTCATAACTTTTCGTTGAACAACAAGCCTGGAGAGTTGCAATTCAAAAGCTCACATCCTGCATTCTGAGCATAATTTGGCCCAGACATACAAATATTATTTCATTATTATGTTGTGTGACAAAACACACTTCTGCATTCTCTACCTAGAACAGATGCACCAGTACCTAGTTCTTCCTCATTTAAAATGCCAGAGCGTATTTATATATTGCTAATATATACTGGAAACTATTTTTGAAAAGGAAATCAAACCCTATTCATTTAGAATCCATTCTCACTTCAAGTCTGCTAGTCCAGATTGCTTAAACATAATTTCAGGATCAGTACAGACACAAGAAACTACTGGGAAGATAAAATGTAGGTGGTTATACCCATGCACATAAGTGAAGCAAACCCAGTTTACGCAGGGGTTATGCTCCAAGGCACCACGCGTTTTAATGAAATCATGTATATTTGAAACACCATTGAAAAAGCCTGCAGACACCCCGTTCCACCTCTTTTTGTAATGTTCTTGTGCCATTTTCAGGTCACTTTCAGGTTCAGCGTGATGCACATGTGTGCAGTCATACACATATCGGACACGCCAAAAATGGTTGCTGCCTGTATGTCTCATGCTGCAATTTCATTTTATCTAAGAGATATTTATTAAATACTAAAGAATATATTGAAAATAAATGCCATTCATCCTAAAATATTTTCAAATGCTACCCATATAATGCCATTGCTAATTTTAGGATAGCTCTGTTCTAGTCAAATAAGAGGGCTGCCAAATAAGAGAATAACTCAAGCTATACCTGCATTGATGCGTGGCTGATGGTGAAAAAGTTAACTGAAAACAACACAGCCAATCACAGGGTTGATGACTGATCCAGTGGAGGAATAGGGTATTTTCATTTATTTCCTCTGGTTTTGCAGTCCCTTATGCCACCCATTCCAAAGGGTACCCTAACCCTCTGGAGCAGATATGGCGGAGGTGGCAGTTCATGAGAATAATAGAAATAGATCTCAAATCTTGAGATCAACAGGTGAACAGTATCAATATCATAGTCCTGGTGGCACAGTCATGCTAGCATTAGAAATCAAACCATTTGAAACGTCAAAATTTTGAAATAATTTTTTTAGAGAGAATCTTCTCTGAAATATTTGTGGTTCTGTACTTCAGGGATGGCCCAACATTTACAGACTCCTTTCCCCTTTCTCTGAATGCAAGACAATCATGCCTTACTGATCATCTGGAGCCAGTACAATGCCAATCCAAGAATTAACTACTCGGATATGTCAGATACCACTGACAGAATCACAGGGACATAGGAATGCAACACAAACAAGCTGGATCAAGCCAATGTCCAATCTAGTCCAGCATCATGTTCTCATAGTGGCCAAAAACAGATGTCTATTGGAAGCTTGCAAGCTAGACAACAGGCCACCTGTAATTCCCAGGAACTGGTATTCTGAAGCATACTAACTCTGACAGTTGAGGTAGTATGCAGTCATCATGACTAGTGGTCATTGATAGCCTTGTCCCCATGAATTTGTCCAGCTACATGAAAAACCAGCTACATAAAATGCTGTGATGAGATAATAAAGGAGATTATGTATTGAATTAGGAACATTTTTGGACATCAATCCCATCATGTAGCTGTAAAGAAAGTGGTTTTAAGGTAATGTAGAAGTTTTTAATCCACATCAAGGTCAAATGTATATTTTTAAAGTTTCTTTTTTTTTGTAACGAGGGCTACGTTCAAGAAGGGACTGCATATAGTCATACTTTGGCAATACTGAAATGCACTGAGGTACTGTACTGGGAAATGGTCACAAACAATAATGGCTGTACTGTATGAGATCTACTTTCAGGTTTTGGATTAAAAGTAGTAATCCTGTGGGGTATGATTTTCTCTTCAAAAATACTTTATATATCGCCCATATTTAGCTTTTTTCAAACTGTTCAGTCACCATTACTGTTTCACTGGGTTGCTACTTCTTTGGTAGGTATATTTTTTTCCTAGGCTGCTTCCTCTTTCCTGTTTTACTGATATGATGATCCTGACCATGGTGATGTCACAATGAAACAAAACTAATTAGATAAAACTGCATAATGACATCACTGAGGAGACGAAAGTGCAATTTACATCAATATTAACATTTTCACAAGGCATGCAAATCAAAAAGGGAGGTTTTTGGCACTGGTAAAAGTGTTCATGGAAAAACAGCGAGTAGGTTCAGCTCCTCACTCCCTAGAATATGGCGTGAAAAACACACTGCACATTATAAGCATACCCAAGAATTATACTGTGTAATATAGTTACTTTCCTTACAAACAATTAGTGAAACAATTATGACCAAATTAACCATATTAACAAAAGCAAATATCTGGAATTTGTTCAGCTGTACTAGATATGGAGGGGACGCGGGTGGCGCTGTGGGTAAAAGCCTCAGCGCCTAGGACTTGCCGATCGAAAGGTCGGCGGTACGAATCCCTGCGGCGGGGTGCGCTCCCATCGCTCGGTCCCAGCGCCTGCCAACCTAGCAGTTTGAAAGCACCCCCGGGTGCAAGTAGATAAATAGGGACCGCTTACTAGCAGGAAGGTAAACGGCGTTCCGTGTGCTGCGCTGGCTCGCCAGATGCAGCTTGTCACGCTGGCCACGTGACCCGGAAGTGTCTGCGGACAGCGCTGGCTCCCGGCCTATAGAGTGAGATGAGCGCACAACCCTAGAGTCGGACATGACTGGCCAGTACGGGCAGGGGTACCTTTACCTTTACCTTTTTACTAGATATGGGATATATGGATTTCAATCACAGGAAGCTATTCCGTGGATTCCAGACAGTAATAAGCAGTCAAATACTGTAAAATTACTTGAAATTTCATATTACTAATCTATTTATTAATCTACTTTGCTTTAGTATACTGTATTTTGTATATTTGAATATAGATGGATAGTCTGAGTGGTGCAGATGAAACTATGCTTAAGCAATGTGGAGCAAGCCCTTCTGGAGCAGAAATTCCTTCTGCCAGATTTAACTACCATTAACTGCAATAACTGCAACAACATTACCCATGATTAGAGCTAATCAAAGCGCCTATTCAACTGAAGATCTGAAACCAGTTTCCAACCATAATTTCAGATACTGGATTAAGCGGAAACCCTAGTTAGTTTAAAAGTAATTAACATTGCTGACTGCCTAACAGTTTACCACAACTCACACTCCAATAGGGAATAGTGTAATTTCACATCACAGCATGGGCATAGCCAGGGGGGCGGGGGGGGGGGGCAGCTGCCCTCCAATAAATAAAAATCAATAAAAAGCAAAAAATAACCAAACTGAGGTTCTGCCCCTCCCAACAAAGCCCTCACCCACACAAAAGCCCTGACACCCCCCAACAAAAATCCTGATTACGCCCATGCATTGCAGTCCTAATTGCTAACGTTAAACAAATGAACGTGTTAAATCCACATTCATCCTGTTTACATGTTTTCTATGCTAGTTTGGCCTGCAGGTTGCCCAGATTATAAACAGCCAACAGAAATTTCAGACTATAATGTTGAAATGTAGCAAGTACTTACCTGGAATTTGAGAACAAAATTCAGCACTTTTGCACTGACACTGTGAGAAAGAAAGAGTTTGATATTTCATACTTTTTTGTAGAACAGTGAAAAAAAAGTTTAAGTTTAGAATCCTAATCCAATGAAATCCACAAACAGAAACCAGGTTCCATTAATTAATTTCCCACCTAAGCATAGGATACTATGCAGGGTGAGGGCATCCAGCACTCCTGCACCACGTTCTTTTTCTAACAAATTAAGGTTGCAACCCTATATTCACTTATCTGGGAGTAACCCCCCATTAAACTAATGGTTCTTACTTCTCAACAGACATGTATAGAATTTTACTGCAAGTGGCTTAAGCTCCTAATTGGCATATAAAGGAGGAAATGGACATCAGACACCCTTTCCCTCCCTTCTGATCACTGAACAACGATCTGTTGCTTTCAGACTGAAAAGCACGGAACTTCTGTCCAGCAAGACTAGAAGGGTCCACAAGGAAAATGTTCAGGATGGAAGAATGTGAAACGATTTACATTAATGACATTTAATGTTGATTTCTAAGCAAACACTGAATTGCAATTTAGGGATTGGCCAAACGCAGGAACCAATTATTGTTTTCATCACAACTTTTCCTGTCGACTTTGGTTGTTAACTCTCTGAATCACAACGGTTGCAGAAGGATGCTGCAGTGCAATGCATCTAAGAGAGTAATTGAAAAATTGTTCTGTTCAGATTATATCATAATCAACTTCTCTTTGAATAGCTCCAATTTCTGTTAAATTTTTAAGAAATGCGTTTGTATTTTCTTTGTATTATGGACACTAAAGTTTTAATTTTGAATTTATGTGGGTGTCTTTTACCACAATAAACTGCTATTTCATTTTATTTTTTTACAGATACAGTCCCTTAAGCTCAGGCTTGATTTGTAATAAAACAGCAAGCACTAGGCAGAGCTATGTTGCCTATTCCTCCCAGAGAAAAGAAGTATATTTGTCAAGTTTCCAAGAAGGAGAGGGAGGGGAAATCTCCCTCTATCTATCTATGCGGTTTGCCATGGGATCCTTCCTTGGATTCGGCATTAGGAGAGCCATATTTATGGCATTTTTGTTTACAATATGTGCCATCCTTCATGAGTCTTAAAGAGGAGCTTGAAGCTATCCATTGCTGCTGCTTTCCTGGCTTTTAGCCAAAGAGTCACATGTCTCTGCACTCTGCTCAAGTGCTTTTTTAGCAGAACGTGTTAATCAGTTTTTAAAATTAAAATAAACAAACCTGTGTCACAGATCATCAATTCCTCTTCTACTGAAAATACAAGGCACCAGATAACATCATTTACAATGGCAGTTGCCAGATTCTCCTGAATCACCTGCTGCTGTTGGCTCAGTTCTCAGAAGCAGATTCCAACTAGCATTTTTTTCCTCATTTCACCATTGGATTGTGTCCATTATATTTCTACCTAACTTTTTTCTTTTCTGTTTACCTTTTTTTACAGTTTAACACTAATGATTTTATCTCTTAAAATGTTTATGAAAATTGATTTTAATACTTTATTGCTATTTAAAATTAACATTTCATATTGTCTTGTAAACCTTTTAGAGGTCTTTTGTACTAGTAAGTGGCATATAATTTTTTTGAAATAAAATAAAAGCAAATACTTTTTATTAATTGGTTATCAGTGATAAGGGTTATTTTATACATTACACAGAGAAAACCAGGTTTCCAATCTAGTCAGCCAAACCTGGTTCTCTAACAATTGTACCAGATTATGCACATGTTTTCAAACATGGGTTTGTTACAATTACACTTTATACGTATTTGAAATATATTGGACATACATAGAATACCATTTCTGTTCTTCAGCCCATTTTGCAATATCAGCTTCCTCCATTATTTGAGGTCACTAGCAAAGCAACTGCATAATTCTAGGAAGATGATTTCTAGTTTTACAAACTTCTAGAGATTACTAGAATGCAGATTTCTTGCTAATATCATTCAGAGAGCATTTTCACAGGAGTCCTCTCCTGGGAATCAAGGAAGATATTAAAAACAAGTTTGGAGAAGCAATTCTTGCTTTCTCTTTCTTATATTTTCTTCCTCAGCAATAAGAGGCATTTTTGACAAAATGTGATCAAATTACAGTTCTCCACAGGAGAATACTGTATAGCATTGGCTTGTCCTAAATATTATGCTGTCATCCAGTGGCCATTGTTATGAACTGCACAACTCTTCTATTTTACATTTATTAACAGAACTCAGAAATGGTTATGACGTAAATTAAACAGCATGGAATGCCATGTGGGGCGGGGAATAAGATAAGCCAGAAAATTCACAAAATGCAATCTTCCCACTAAAAGACTAAAAGCTAGAAAGGTGTAGGCCCTAAAGCCCTGAGGGACAAACAGTATTGTATTATGGATGTGTTTTGCCTCGTTTTAAAGAGCTACTCAGAGCAAGCTATTAAAGATTTCCCTCAAATAGTAAGTTTGCAGATTGCCACAAGGGTTTCCTCTGAGGCTAGTAAAACTGTCAAACTTATACTTACAAGTCTGAAACAATCATTCCCCAGAGACAGCGGTGGTGGGATGAGAGAAAAATAGGAGAGCAGCACACCGGTTGGGGCTGATGGGAGTTGTAGTCCAAAGCAGATGGAGGGCACCAGTTTGGCAAAGTACGTACAGTACTAGAGGGAGGGATAAGGAAATTCTGACATTGGAAGCTCTGCCTTACATCTCTGTTAAGTGGGGAAAGAAGGCGGAGCTGCCTAGACCCCATTTACAGTACTCAGTACCAGTGAGGTTTTGCTGAGGCGAAATGTTATTTGTCAAGAAGGCTGTGAGGGAAAGAAGACAGCTAACAGAGGCACGACACACAGACCCCTTCTTCCAACAAAGCAACAAAGTGCCTAGATTAAACGGAGCATACTAAAAGTAGAATTCCGTAACCTACCCCAACACAAAGGAAAGGAAAGCCGCGCTTAAGTCAAAGCAGAAAGCAGCAGGATAAAGAAGCAATTACTGTACATACTCTTAGACACTTCCTGCATTCTCCTCACAATGTACACTGAGGAGAGAACTAAACTCTTGAGTTGCTGGTCTCAAACCTTCAGGAAGGTGGGGAAGTCTCAGGCCTGAAGGAGAAGGGAAGCCAAAGTCTTGCCTGACCCCACCCCAAGCTAGCTAAATGAGGGTAAATGTCTCCTGAATCTATTTCACCTCCTGGAGGCCAAAATTGAAATTACAGTACAAGCTCCTGATCAGCTCAGCTGTACTCCTTTGCCTGAAAATGGCATCAGGCTGAATCACTTTTTGCCTGCATGTGTGGATAAAGTTTGCAATCTCCAGAGGGATTTCAAGTGAAACCCATTGTGTTTCGTAGAAGCTATCTGAAACATACTGCATTATTATTATTATTATTAATTGAATTTATATTCCGTCCTATAGCCAGAGGTTTCAGGGCAGATACTCTGTCTCAGGTGTGTAATTCAATTATCAGAAGAGTCCACATAGTTTGAGTTCTGTACTGATGCAAGGAATATAATTTTAACTGTTTAGAATTACTCCAGGCTCTGGGTGTATTATTATAAACACCAGAATCCAATAGTTAGAAGGTTAAAAAAATAATAATCCCCCTGCCCCGTGAAGAAAAGCCTGTCTTTTGCTTAGGCCACATCACAACTAAAGTTTGATTTATTCCAGCCGTGAGCATCAGAGGAATAGAAGAAATTCGGCTCTCACTAATGAGGATGAGATAATGGGCTGAGCGCACCTGTGCTATCTCCTTGTGGCTGGTAGCTCAAGGTCAGTATGGCCGCCTGCTTAATTACCGTATTTTTTGCACCATAACACTCACTTTTTTCCTCCTAGAAAGTAAGGGGAAATGTCTGTGCGTGTTATGGAGGGAATGCCTACGGGTGGCGGGGGGGATCTGCTGCAGTCGTGAGCAGAGGATCCATGGTTCCCCTTCCTTCGCTCACGAGTGTAAGCGGCTCCTGTCCGGTTGGTTCCTTTAAAGCAAGCAGGCTCTCTGTCCCTCTCTCCTCCTCACTCAGCTCGCTAAATAGCAGCAAAGTTTTTCAGCTCGCTAAGCCAGGGATGAGCGGCGAGGAGGGAGAAAAGCAGAGCCTGCTTGCTTTAAGGGAGCAAAGCGGGAGAGGAGAGGAGCCTTCTCCCCTTATACCCCTCTTCTTCATTATTAGCAGCATCCTTCTCCACCCACCCCACGCATGCTCCTTGTCCCTAGAGCGCTTTTCCTTCCCTCCCCACTTAAAACGTGGTTACAAAGCACGGATCCCCATGGATCCTCAGGATTTTTGCATTGGGCTACTCTAAACTCACTGTCAGATCACATGCCTGTGGCCACAGCATGAACCACAAAAATCATACATCCACTGTTTCATTTAGAATATTTTTTTTCTTGTTTTCCTCCTCTAAAAACTATGTGCGTGTTATGGTCGGGTGCGTCTTATAGAGCGAAAAATACGGTAATAGCAACTATGAACCTGTGAGAATGTGTACTCCCAAATCCTGGAAGTTTCTATCTAGGTGAGCTTCTGATTGGCTAGGAAGTCCGGGTTCGGTTATTAGGCCAGTTTTATATAATTTTGACTTACGCCATTTTTCTGTGCTTCACACCTTTTCCTGATGCTTGAGCAAAGGTGTTCCTGTGCTGTAGGTTGATGTACCTTGTAGGTTTATATTAGACTAAGTTTTGCTGTGTTTTTTAAAAATGTATTTACATTAAATATTTTCTTGATTTACAAAGGTATGTGCAATGTCTCTCTCTTGTATTTTTTTTTTTACCATTTCTGTTTTCCAACAGTATTTTATTTGTACTTTTCATGGGTTTTTATTTTATTATTCACTGTCAATAAATTGCCACATTCATTTTGTGTCTGTTTTATTCTAGAAAGCTTGGGTCCCCAATTCTGGTGTTTGGGACTTCTTGGTTAATGGCTACTGTACAGTGTTATTTGTCTGTGGCTCAGAGGGCAGAGTGGAATTTTAGCTCTTGCCTATCTGAATCGGCAGGGTCTCCTGACCTAGACTGGAAGACAACAAGAGCGGTGTCAGCATACTACTTTTACAGAGTCCAGTTGAAAGGCTCTGGCTGGATTTTTCTACTGACTTGGGCTAAGCAAGAGTCCTCACTTCCTGGGCTTGGAGGTCAAGCAATCTTGACACACATACCCCAAATTAGGGCAGAACAACATACTCCAAAGCAAAATGCTCTTCCACCATCTTTCTCCACATGAGGAAGGGAGGAGGTATGCAGAGCCTACAAGAAAAACAAAGAGCCACATGTGATATGTTTATTTTTCTGAACCTCAAAATAGGCCTCAGACAGTTCAGAGATCTTAGGGACTAATATTATTCTGAAATCAACATCTATATGCTGAAGGGTTTTACCTTTTGTGTCCTCTCAAAGAGGGGTCCAGAGGAGGATGCCAAGGATGAGGGGGTGGGCAAGGGGGAGGTCTCTGGGAGAGGGGAAATTCTATTCTTTCTTCCCAATCAGGAAAACACTTCTCTGAGTCTGGAAAGCCTAGAAAAGAAAGAGAAATGGGGCTCACTGTTAGTGCTCTCTAACGCCTCTATGCTCAAGATGAATTCTCTATCATCAAAGAATTTAAATGCTGAAAGAAATCCTGCTTGCATGTCTTCCTGCTACTCTCACAAGCATGAAATGATCCAAGCATAGGAGATCCCCAGGCCTTCTAGAGTTCTGGTGACCAATGAGCCAGCAGAGGGAGGTGTCACAATGAACCTCATGACCCAACAACCCTGGGCCCTGAGAAAACTAGCAGCCACAAGCACTGCTCCTATTAAGTGACACTACTAAGTTTTCTCATGTGACTTTTTTTTCCATTTCCCACTTTTTATAAATATGCAAAATGTGCCTATTTGGATTCCAGCTGTAGTTGTTGCTGCTCCTACTGAGCACTAGCTGTCTTCTATACCTGTCTTATACCCTCCAACATTTCTCCCATGAAAATAGAAATGTCCTACTCCATTATTATTATTATTATTATTATTATTATTCTGACTGGGTTGCCACAGCCACTCTGGGAAGTTTCCAACGTATACAAAAACATAATAAAGCATTAAACATTGGAAAAAACCCTTCCCTTAAAAAAAACAAAAGCATAAAGAAGTTACAAACAACCATCAATAGTTGGGGGGGTGAACTCTTAATAGCTTGCATAGGCTTAGTGGAACAGAAATGTTTTTTTGGCACAGAAGGCAAATGCTGAATCTCTATTGGCAGGATGTTCCACAGGACAGGCCAAGGACACTATAGGCTTGATTTTTTCGTGTTGTCAAACAAGCTTCACCAGCTCAGGGAATGACCAAAGATGCTCTTGCAGATAATCACAGTGATCAAGCTGGAATATAAGGCTTCAGGCAATCTCTGGACCCAAGTGGTTCAGGGCTTTGTAAATCGAAACAAGAATCTTGAACCTGGCTTTGTATCAGATAGGCAGTCTGTGCAGCTCAATGGCGTCACATGTTCTCAACCAGAAGCTCCCATCAGCAATCTGGCTGCAGCATTTTGTACCAGCTGGAGCTTTCAAACCAGACTGAGTGGCAGCCCCCCTGCATTACAGTAATCTAGCCTCAAGGTTACCAGTGCAGGATCCTGGAGCAAGGATTTCCACATATTGTGGTAAGAAGCAAGAACGTATGATTTTACATCCTTTCTTACTTTGAATAGATACAGCAAGAATAGCACATACAAGGAGCCCATGTCAGAATGAAGATTTATTGGGATCAGAATCAATCAGTATGGAGGTCTTAAGAAGCTGAAGCCAGAAAATTTTATGCTGACTGCCGTTTTCTTCATAAATTTATTCTCGGAAGAAAAGTGTTCAGAGTTCCGGTGGGGAAATTCAGAAATGTTGTTTGGCTGAGTGAATATGTTACATTAATTTTCTGATATGTGAAGGAGTAGATTGCTCCTCTAACAGCAATGAAATTAGTTGCTTTATTTCTTCATTAAGAATGTGGGAGGCAAGTTAATTTCCTATTATGGCTTTCAAAATTAATTAAAATAATTCTTCATTAGCGTTATATCTATACATACAAGGAGTTTTTAGTTGAAATAATTTTCTAAATTAATCCTGCATCGAGAGAAGTATGTATAGGCAGCAATCCTATACAAACTTACCTGTAAGCCACATTGAACTGAAAAGCAGTAAGTCTCTTTGGAGGTATGTTTCTGAATAGACATGTGCACGACTGCATTCTCTTTTTTTTTTAAGCCCTTACTTTTCAAAAGAATTTATTTTTAACTTCCATGTCCTAAAATGTGCCATAGGGCTTTTCTGTGCCCGCCCACCCCCACCTCTCTATGCTTCTGAAAAGCTATTTTGAGGGTCAGGGGGGCCTCTGGAATGGCACAGGATGGGGGGGGAAGGCACTTGCCCTTTATGTACAAACACATTTGGATACATGTCAAAATATTTTCTCATTTATCTTAATCATACATCTTAGTTAGAAATGGAAATATAGGGGAAATAAATTATAAATAACTTAGACTGAGGTGCTACATATGTCTTATATGGGTGGAAAGGAAATGAGACCTCAACAGCTTGGATAGTGTGCTGGGAGCACACTCTTAGTACTGTCTCTACAGTACAAAATTTTGCCAGTTTTGAACTAGTTGAGACATCTTCACCTTCACTTTATTCTCATTTCCTATGCGGGGATTCCCCAACACAGGAAGTATGTGCGGGAGGTAGTTTCCAATATGCCTATTTGTTTGCAAAGGTGCTACGCTATAGAGCTGGCAGGAAAGAAAGGTTTGATCACTAAATACAGCACAGAATTTAGAGCTGCCTGCCATAACCTCACTTTAAGTATAAAAATGAAATATATAGTGCAAAAAGGCAATAAGTTACAATGGTACATGAACCAGGACCAAATGGATGTGTCATTGGGGTAGTCCATTGCTTATTTTGGGGTGCACAGCTATAGTTCCCTTATTCATAACTGTGCACTGAGGTTTTATGTGCTTTGTGCAAAAATAACACATTTTGCAAAAACCTTTTTCAAAAGGCAGAGTTTCCCTGTGATGGAGATGCATGATAATTCATATTCTGTGATGCAGGGTCAAATAAAATATTTAGGATATTCACTGAGCTCTTTGTTGAAGAAGGAACTAGGAACTTGGAACCAATTCCAGCATCATAAAAAAAAACCCACATAAGATAGTGATAACTGTAAGGTCACCACCTGTTTTCAACTACAGAGGTACAGATCTTGCCAAAAATCACATTAAACCTTATTCCACACACTTAGTATCAATTCAGCATTTTTGGTGGCTTGGCTTCGGTACTGCAAGTTCGTGTGTGTGTGTGTGTGTGTGTGTGTAGATATCAGATTCTCAAAATCAGAAAAAGTTAGTAAGTGAGAATGGCCAGATAAACAACACAAATGCAAACAGAAAATTATTACGCAACTATCTGCAGAACAGCTGTAATAGAAATTATGTTTGCAAAAAGCCATCAACCAGGAAAGACAAGTTTGGTGCTGCTGCTAAATGCAATGAGTCATATCGTCCTCTGTCTAGTTGAGCAGTGAATAAATAAATAAAATTTGATGAATCAAATAATAGGATTCATAGCACAAATCTCACAGATGCATCAAGTATTATATAAACTACTGCTAATTGTCCTTCTCCAAAACTGAGCCCTAGGTGTGCAAAGTGCTTTACAGCATATAAACAGATCTAACGTAGCACAACTCTACTGTTGAGTCCAGCAATACAGTCTGAATCTTGCATGGACAATCTGGAAATAATAGCAGCATACAGCCATTAGTAATCCCACAAAACACCTACTAAATCTGTTGACATATACATTAATTTAAATTGATTTACTGATGTAGTTTCCCACAAAACAGCAAAGCAGGTGGCATTATAGATTCTGGTTTGTATCCACTGCTGGTCATACTAAGAGCAGATCAATTTCAATTAATGGGCATGACTAATTTCGGTCCATTAGTTACAACGGGAGTACTCTGCAGAGAACTTAGCTGGCTACAACCATCTGTTGGTACTTTCTGCTTCCACTGGCACAGAGAATTTCCAGGCGCAGTGTTACCAGGTTCAGTTTTCTTTAGATGAGAGGACATTGGAGATTTAGGCAGTCTTTGTAAAAACTGGTTAATTTATAACTATACAGAGCTGATTAATATTCTCAGCCTTTTAAATGTGTTTGTGAGGGGGGGGTTGTATTGTTTTGTTTTGTTGTTTTGTTTTAACTATTAATTTGTGCTTTTACCTTGTATTTTTTATCTTGTGAACCGCACTAACATCTTATGATGAAGGGCAGTATATAAGTCATCATCATCATCATAATTAAGAATAATGTGCTATATCAGCTCTCCTGAATGCAAAGTAGTGCCAGAAACTGTAGTATCTGTCAGCATGCAGAGGGTCGCAAGGCCAGCTGGGTCATCTCCTTCGGCCGTCCCGCTGCAAAGACCCATCGGCCTCTGCTCCGACATAAGTCAGCGACCCAGGCTTCAAAGCCAGGGCACACTATATCAGCCGAGCGAATAGGCATGCACACAGAATAGGCGTGAGGCTTGTGGAAGCATACTACAACTACAGATTTATTAATCATAAATCAGGACAAAGAACCACGTCGTCTCTCTCTCTTTGTCTTCTCAGAGAGACAGAGAGAAGCAAAAGCTATACACACAACGGAAGTTCCCAGCAAGCTGTGCTGGTATGTAAACAGACATGTGACATGCAACAGTTCCATGTCTGCAACTAAAGGTGGAATAGAATTTTCCAAAAGTATTCACCTAGCAGTTTAAACCTTATTAATATTATAAATATGTATTGATAAGTGAAGTGTGGTATCATACACCAAGCTTGGTGCTTGCCGAGTCGGGTTTAATAATCTTATTGTAGTTTAATCTGGAAGACGGAATGGTCCATTGCACTGTAATCACAGGAGTAGATTAAAACACAAGTTAGATAAAAAGGCAGAAGAAGGAGCCTTGCAAATAAACCCTTAGAATGCAACAAAAGCAACCAAATGCAACTGCTGTCAAATCTCACTAGAGGGCATCAGTTTCCTAACCAAAGATGGCCAAATATATATATATATGTTTTGCTTCTTTAAAAGGGTAGGGAAGTTGAAGAGACAATGTGCCAGTGATTGTAATCCCACTGTACTGTTTACAACATTCAGCTGGAGCTTGCCAACACTGGGCAGACTTGAATCAGCAAGTTCCTGGTACTGTGCATAAGGGAAGCCTTGCAAAAACCTTCGGGCAATAGTGAAGACAGTGCATAGTGATAACAAGCTTAGGCAAATCTGAGCTCTCCAGTGCACATTTCATTACAAAAATACAGGATGGAAGAGAAGATACTGCAAGGGGAGGGCACTGCAACACAGTACCAGACTCATGGCCCATGTGTGTGTGTCCCTGCTCTAAAGTGAGCAAAACACACTGTTGACCTATGTGATCAAAAGGGGATTACAAAAGACAGTTGTTATGGATGCTATTCAGTATGATCAAGTGTAATGTGATGCATGTTGGGGCAAAAAAATCTTAATTTCACGTACACGTTCATAGGGTCTGAACTGGCAGTTATGGCCCAGGAACAAGACCCAGCAGATAGTTCACTGGAAATCCTGTGTGCGGCAAATTCCATGCTTGGGATAGTTAGGAAAGGAATTGAATATAAAACCTCCAATATCGTAATGCTGTTATGCAAATCTATTGTGCGACCACAACTGGAATACTGTGAACAGTTCTGGTTGCCTCACCTCAAAAGGGACATTGTAGAGTTGGAAAAGGTGCAGAAAAGAGCAGCCAAGACAATCAACAGGGTGGAATGACTCCTTTATTAGGGAAGGTTGCAGCGTTTGAGGCTTTTTAGTTTCGAGAAAAGGTGAATAAGAGGTGACAGTTTATAAAATTATTTTTGGAACAGAAAGTAGAAAGAGAAGTCCTTCCTCTCTCAAAACACCAGAATTTGTGGACGCCCAATGAAGCTGAATGTTGGAAGAGTCATTGGAAGGAAGTTATATGGCTTTAGTAGAAACGTTATAAGGAATTAAGTATAAATAGATTAATAGAGTATTAAAGGAAAAATAAGGTTAGAATGAGTTAAGATAATTATAGGATAGAAAACAGAGGAAGATGGAAAGGAATTGCTGAAATAATTAACAGAAGTGGAATACAAACAGGGAGGTGTGAGGAGGTCGTGGAAATAAGGGAATGAAAGATGGGATAATGAAATTGTTTGATTTATTTTATTGTTTTTGTTTTGTTAGTTTAATGTATTGCATTGTATTGTCTTTTTAGTGTTTAATTTTTTGGAAAAGTAATAAATATTATTTTTTTAAAAAAAGAATGTTGGAAGAGTCAGGACAAATGAAAGAACGTACTTCTTCATGCAGTGCATAGTTGAGCTATAGAATTCCATTCCTCAAGAGGCAGGGATGGCCACCAACCTGAATGACTTTAAAAGAGAATGAGACAAATTCATGGAGGCTGCTAGGCTCTGTCTTCATGGCTGGAGGCTGGATGTGGGAAACATCAGTAGAGAAGAGTGCTCTGGTTCTCAGGTCCTGCTTGCAGGTTTCCCACAGGCATCTAGTTGGCCACCCTTAGAACAGGCTGCTGGCCTTTGGCCTCATCAAGCAAGCTCCTATGTTTTTACTCACATGCACTGATATGTAATGTCCAGGCAACTAGTGGACAAAATTTTAAACTTGCCAAATAATGATGCCATTGTGGTCACTTGTCTAGGATATGGATACCAGTTCCTTCAAACAATTTGCTTCTCTCAGAAAAGGAGTTTCTTAGCATCATCACAAATGGCACCAAGAACAATTAAGTGCAGGTATCTGTAGAAAGTGTTCTCAAAAGGGCAAGAGCAGGGAGCATAGCCGTGGGCAGAGTAAACATCTGGAACATTCCTGCATTGTACTTTCCTGTTGGCAGCATATCTCAAGTTCTGTTGGCATGGTAGACTTTCATCAAAATAATATAAATAACCCCTCAACTAGCTAGCTCATATATAAAGAAACTACAGTCATACCTTGGGTTAAATACGCTTCAAGTTGAGCGCATTCGAGTTGTGCTCTGTGGCAACCTGGAAATAATGGAGCGTGTTACTTCTGGGTTTCACCGTTTGCGCAGATGCTCAAAATGACGTCACGCGCATGCACAGAAGCGGCGAAAAGCGACACGCGCGTGCGCAGACGTGCCATCGCTAGTTACGTTTGCTTCTAGATGCGAAAGGGGCTCCGGAACGGATCCCGTTCGTATCTAGAGGTACCACTGTACTGACCTGCCTCATTGCTCATGACATTACAATAAAATCACCCTTGACCAAAGTGGACAGGAAGGGCCTTTCTTTCAGTAATCCTCGAATGCATTTGCAGCTCCACCACACAAATAGCAACGCAAAACCAAAACTCAAATCCTTTTCCCACTTAAGGACAATTTCCTAGAATTCAGGTGGATGGGTGCAGAAAGGAGCTGTGTGTGACTCATACTGTTGCGAACGGGGAAGAGGAATGAGGATGTCTAAGGAAGACGGGGATATTCAACACGGACATGTTGAATGGGATGTTCACTCAGTATGCTAATTAGCCGATTTAAATATGCGCTGTCTTCTGCCGCGGCCGAGTCCTCTCTCCTTTTATTCCTGAGCCCGCCCGGGATTCAGGTGGGAGGCTACAAAAGCAGGTAATATGATCTCAAACCGCCGTCTCCCACTCCGAGTGCTCCCGAAGAGAAGCGCTCGGCACCTCTGAGAAAAGCCAGGCTGGAGTGGCGCGGACGGAGAACTTTGGAAGCATTTGGGATTTGAACTCAACAGGTAGGCGATCGCAAAAGCGGGATAGATTTCGAGGAGCATAAACACACAGAGATCGGCGAGTTTAAGGACATGGATGAAGCTGCCAGTTCTTCCGAGGGGAGGCGGAGGGAGGGAGGGAGGGAGGGAAAATTACTGGAGCCCACACCCTATGGCACCTTCGTGACCCGAGCAACGTGCCTTCTCCACTTACGCTTTCTGTAGTTCTACGTTGGTCTTGATCTTCCGCAATATCGGCTGTTAGATCTGCCCCTCAACTTATTACGATGGTTTGGGGCTGGCGAGGGAGGGGGGCTTAACTTTCATTAGTTTAAAGAAGCAGGAAGTGGCGGCGGGTGCCATCAATCGCAGCGCGCCATGAACTTGAAGTTTGCGCACAGTTTTGCTCGAGAATACCTTCAGCCCAAGATTCCCAGGGCGCTGTATTCTGCTTATGTACTCATAACAAAAGTCAAAAGCCTAAAAACTGTGTGTCCACAACAGCAGCAGCCGGCCATTTGAACATCGAAGGGGAAGTGGGGTGGAATTCGAGGTGCGCTTCTGGGAAGAGTTGGTATCGGGTGCGCCACAGTCATTGTTTTTTGAAAGCGGCTCAGTTTCGTCCGGCTAAACTGGCCCCCCTGAGATGCTGAGCAAGAGCTATTGTGCCTGCTGGCAAGGAGCCAAAGAACAGCGCGACTAGCCTGGCCAGTCCAAGCGGGGGCTTTCTGGAGCAGGAGGGGAAAAAAATTGCATTTCTGGAGCAGGAGCCCTTCAAGCCCATATGGGGCGTTTCAGTCACATGGTACCACATAGCCTAGTTTTGAAGGGAGAGAAGTAGCGTGGGGGGCGGCGTCGGGGGAGCTTACTGGTTGAACAAACCCTTGATCATGCCCAGAAGCAGCTCTGTGAACCCTGGTCAATATCATAGTAAAAGCACATGTCTAGTTTCTGTCATGCTGAAGCTCCGTGTAATCAGTTTGGAATGTTGTCCTTGACAAGATTCTACATGTGGGGGGAATGTGCTGGTGATCGAAAGGATGCACGGACACATGAAGTAGGACCTAACTTATGTTATCATGTATTTTTTCCCCTGATGCTGAAATTGTTGGTTTCAATTGCTGAGAACAATCCATGTAATTATTATTACGCAACCAAGATGAGGTACATGCTAGACTGGTTTTATGGGAGGCCTGCAGCCTAATCTAAAGCAACTTTCATCTAAATGTCTTGTAGCGACTTGTGAATGATGTTAACTGCAGCCAATAAGTCACTTTTTTTGAAGTTTGTCAGCAATTTATCCATTAACAATTAAAAAAATATTATTACTTTGGTAACTTTTTTTTTTTTTTACAGGTACCGGGTTATGTTCTTTTTTTACATTTTGCTCCTTCAGCTGGTGCTAACGTTGCTTGCATTTCCTCACTGCTCAAGACAACTGAAGGAATCGGATGCAGTGAAAGAAGGTAACTTTATGCATAAGCTATGGCTTCTAAACACAGCTGAGATTCTCTTCCCAATCCAAAATTATAATTTGTTCCCTAAAGCTTTACTCTTCCTTCATTAAAAAGGGTCTAATTGCGCATACGGGTGGAGGAGGGGAATCATCTAGATACTAGTGTTAAGATAGTTCAAGAAGTAAGTCATTCCTGTGGGGTGTATGAAATCAAAAGAATTTATTGCAACAATCAATAGTCATAGAACAACAATCTTAAATACACATTGTTCTGGGTTTTAAACTGCACCCCACCCAGGCAATTGCCCCATACTAACATGTTTTGTTGGAAACCATAGGCCAGAATTGCTTCTGGTTGGCCCCATGCAGCCAGCAATATGGCCACACCTGGTACATTTGCCAGATCACCACTGAACTGCAACGCAAGCCGAATCTGGCATTCCCCAAGCCCATCCTTAATCAGTGGCTATACCAAGCACCTGCCAAACTCCAACAGCCATAGTGACAAGTATCCTTTATTTATCTACCACATATTCCACAAATACATTTCTGCTCAATGTAGTTCATAGAAAACCAAGACCTCTGTGGTGCAATGGGTTGGTGCAGTGGTGTCCAAACTTTTTTCAAAGAGGGCCAGATTTGATGAAGTGAAGGGCCATAAGGGCCAACCAAAGTTGTTGACCTTTTTTAGGATTGAGGTTGTTGAGCTTTTTTTTAGGATTTTACCCCAGAAAATAAACTGTCACAGCGGGCCCCCGAAACAGACTTTGGACATGCCTGGTTGGTGCATCTAGCTGTTAACCAGAAGGTTGGTGGTTCAAGCCCCTCCAGGGATAGCTGAAGGTAGGGGGTTGGACCAGATGACCCTCTGGGTCCCTTCCAACTCTACAATCCTATGATTCTAGAACAGTCTAAATACAATAGTACAGTAGTAATAATAATAGTAGTAGTAATAGTAATAATAATAAATATTGCAACGTAATATGAGCAATTCGACAATTAACAGCTCATTTAAAATACACCAAAAAAATAGTAAGTGTACCGTGTTCAAATAAGCTAGCTAACAATGTCCAACACTTCCACAACCCCCGATAGCCCCAAACTGATGGCATTAGTGACAAGCAACCCACCCCCATGAACATTCATATGCATAAGACCAGAAACACCCCTCAGAGTAGTTCCCTTATGAAGGCTCAAGGGCTAAGGGATGGGACAATGCAGGTGGAATCATCCACTCCCAAGGGCACAGGGTCTCCATGCTCTTGCTTTCTTCCCCTTGCTTGCTCCCACAGAATTCATGATGAGTTATGCTATATTTTTTTTTATTTTGCAGAAAAATGTCCTCCGGAGGATTCACTGCAATTCTACCATGGTCAATTAGAAATATATCACTTTTAAATTAATGGATTTCATCTGGTTATATATATATATTTGTGTCTGCTTTTATCACCTAAACATGCATTTATAAGTATTAGTAACCATGGAAGAATTACAGGGAAACGTCATTTTATGAAGTCATTTTCCTGTTAAAGTTGTTTGTATTCAACCTGCCCTCAGGCTCCTCTCAAGTTCCCCACATTGTTTCAACTTAACTTGACACATTTCGGTCCCACCTCACCTGGAAAGGTTGACTCCCTTTGACACGTACCTCTGTTCTGGCTTCTAAAGGCTGTTTATAACTTCTTCATCCTGAACACCTCTAATGTGGCTCAAAGTGGCATCACTGTCATAGTTTCATAAGTAACTTGTGTATATTATCTGGGGCTGAACAATGACTGTGGCTCTCAAAAGTTCTTCTTCAGGTTTTTCTTAGGCTACTGGCTAAAGATTTCTGTTTTGAAATATAATCCACTGTTGTTAAGAAGACAACAAGCCTGCAACTTAGGCAAGGGTTACATTCCAGGGATTGCACCTAGAACCAAAATTGCATATAGTCAATACACATTGGGTTCAATGGTAAGTGGGATTGTCAAAGTCCTTTTTCCCAGGCATCCGCCCTCTTTTTATTTTTATTTTTAATTGTTTGCCGAGCATTTGAATCTGAATGTGCACAAGTTAAATTTGTGCATGTTGCAAACTTAAAGGTAAAGGGACCCCTGACCATTAGGTCCAGTCGTGGCCGACTCTGAGGTTACAGCACTCATTTTGCTTTATTGGCCGAGGGAGCCGACGTACAGCTTCCGGGTCATGTGGCCAGCATGACTAAGACGCTTCTGGTGAACCAGAGCAGTGCACAGAAATGCCGTTTACCTTCCCGCCAGAGCGGTACCTATTTATCTACTTGCACTTTGACGTGCTTTCAAACTGCTAGGTTGGCAGGAGCAGGGACCGAGCAACGGGAGCTCACCCTGTCACAGGGATTTGAACCGCTGACCTTCTGATCGGCAAGTCCTGTGGTTTAACCCACAGCGCCACCTGCGTCCCTCTTCTTTCCTGTCATGTGATCCTCAGATTAAAGTATTTTGTTAGTGGAGCTCCTTTTTCAGAAACTAGGGATATACAACAGTTTGTGGGACTCTGCTGGTTCCCTTGAGAAAAACCATGAGAGTAGTTTCAGTTTTACTGACATCTGTGGCAGATTGTCTTTGTATCTACCATGGCATGATTTATACCACCTACAGCACTTTTCCATTATTAAATAGGAAGGTTCTGGGGCGATTGCAATTGATGCAATCCTTCGAAAAGATACTGAAAGAGACCACAGGTTTTCTAAAAGCACCCAATAATAACATATTTTGGAGTGGGCCGAATTTTTTACTTTGCAGCCACCCACTGTGGACAAGAAGATGGATGTGGTTTTGGGGGTGTCAGTATAAACAAGTTTTTTACTCAGTGGTCCCCACAGAATCCCTGAAGCAGTAGCACCTGACACAACCTCACAGCATCAGCACTGGGGATGAAATTTCACAGTTAGATACAGGCGTGAATTCAGTCTAGTCTTGACACAAGCAGGATTAGATAGAAGCATTACTGAGATAACTGAGAGTCAGATTACAGGGCAAGGGACAGGTAACCAGGAATCTGGGGCAAATAGAAAATCTGGAGAAAGGCTTAAGAAACAAACAAGGAGAAGAAGAGATGGTTGAATTGAATACCAGCAGCCTTTCCCTGCTTGCTTCTGCAAGAGTTTCAGTGAGGCCAGAGCCTACAAAGCTAGGGCAACCATCATGGTCACATCATCAAAGGTTCTGTCACCTGGGACTCAGCTATACAGCTGTAAATAAAACGTTTAAAATGTGTTGTAAAGTGCAGTATACAAATGTGACACTAGATGGTAACAGCTATGCCAAATTCAATGTATTTTTCAAAATGTTATTTTTAAAAAAGTATTTTCACAGCGTTTTTTTGTATGTGTGTAGATTCCACCCTAGAGGCTCACCCACTAAAGCTGACTAGTGGATGCCATTAACCAAACATAGCCTTGGGAAACCCTGTGTTTGATTTGAGCCCAGTTGTTATTTCCTTGAGTAGATTATGTGCAAGTGCTTTATATAGCTCCAGATCGCTGCAGTATGGCATTCAGCATTGGATAACCTTTTCACCTATAAAGGCTAAACCATGAGTAGGCAAACTAAGGCCCGGGGGCCAGATCTGACCCAATTGCCTTCTAAATCCGGCCCGCAGACGGTCTGGGAATCAGCGTGTTTTTACATGAGTAGAATGTGTCTTTTTATTTAAAATGCATCGCTGGGTTATTTGTGGGGCATAGGAATTCGTTCATTCCCCTCCCCCCAAAAAATATAGTCCAGCCCCCCCTCACAAGGTCTGAGAGACAGTGAAGCGGCCCCCTGCTGAAAAAGTTTGCTGACCCCTAGACTAAACCATAATGACAAAATGACAAAAGGGGTTCCATTTTTAAGGCTTATGTAATACTCAAATATGATCTACTGCTGTTTTCACAATAATATGAAGTAAGTAATGTGTGAGCCACTGGGATCACGCAGCCTCCTAGTGTGACTTGAGCAAACATAGGTGGTTAGAAAATGTGGTTGTGAAATATTTTGAATCAGCTCTGCTGATTCATATGTGACTTCTTCCATGTGACTATAATCAAGGGACTCTACTTGGTGTGTCTTTAAAGCATCTGTGAATGGAAATTTTCCACCAGTGTGTTTGCATTCCAGTGCATTTTCTTAAAGACCATGTTTATATATTTAATGTAAATGTTGCTTTAATTGTTTTTTCAGTGTTCATCTCAACAGAGGAAGCCAATTTATTCATTGGACGACACCTTCTATACAACAGATTTGACTTTGAACTAGTAACCCCAGGGAATCTTGAAAGGGAATGCAATGAAGAATACTGCAATTTCGAGGAAGCAAGAGAAATTTTTGGAGACCAAGAGAAAACAGTAATTGCTTTACTTTTGGTGGCCTATAAAGGAGATATTTCTAAGGTCAATGCTTAGGACTACATCATGTGTACATATTTATCATTTGAGAAAGGGCACAGAACCCATTGTGCTTATGGGTGAAATTGTATTTTATTTTTTTTATTTTTTACTGCTCCTAGGATTGAAAGGGTTGTGCCTCTCAAACTAGCCCAGGTCTAGTCTTTCTGAACCGTTGTCTGAGCCATTATGCAGAAGGGAAAAGTAATCAGCCTTCTCCAATTGGTTGCTTTGGATTCCAGCTCCCTGAATCCCTGATCATAGGCTACGGATCAGCAAACTTTTTCATTAGGGGGCAGGTCCACTGTCCCTCAGACCTCGTGGGGGGTCGGACTATTTTTTGGGGGGGGGAATTGAACGAATTCCTGTGCCCCACAAATAATACAGAGATGCATTTTAAATAAAAGGACACATTCTACTCATGTAAAAACACGCTGATTCCCGGACCGTCCGCGGGCCAGATTTAGAAGGCAATTGGGCTGGATCTGGCCTCCGGGCCTTAGTTTGCCTACCCATGCCGTAGGCCATACTGGCTGAGGCTAATTGAGAGTTGTAGTCCAAAATGTCTGGCGGGCAACAGGTTGAGGAGGGCTGAGCTAGCTCATTAACTGTTCGTAGAAGAATTTACAAGTGAATCCAAATTCCACTTCCCTCACTCTTTGGTGCTGTACCCACACTAGGCTTTATGTGCTACTGTTATTAGGATGGGTACACTCTATCTCCACAAAATGGATGGGGGCAGCCTTGGGATTAGCCATGCTGTTATTAACTTTTTTGGTAAATGGGGCTAGATGATGCATTTCACAAGAGAATCATCAAGGAAATGTTTCTAACGTAGTAGAGTTTCTTGACATGCGCAGTGTGGAGAAGCTTTTCCATATGTGCGTAGTTTTTTTCTTTAAAAAATAATAATAATTGAAGGGGTGTTCCATGGTGGCTTGTCGTGGCTTGCCATCAAAGGCAAAATGGGAACATACAGTGGTACCTCGGGTTATGTACTTAATTCGTTCCGGGGTCCGTTCTTAACCTGAAACTGTTCTTAACCTGGGGTACCACTTTAACTAATGGGACCTCCCGCTACCACCGCTGCACAATTTCTGTTCTCCTCCTGAAGCAAAGTTCTTAACCCAAGGTACTATTTCTGGGTTAGCGGAGTCTGTAACCTGAAGTGTCTGTACCCCGAGGTACCACTGTGCTGCCGCTCTGCCCCCACCTCTACCAGGGAAGCTGAAAAGTGCCACCCTGGCAGGCTCACCCCACTACCAGCAAAGAAGCAGCACTGTTTTCCAGCGAGATTTTGCAAGATCTCAATGGAAACCAACACCACTTCTCCCCCAGAGACAGAGGAGGGTGGAGCACCTATGGGTGCTGCTTCTTATGCTGCCTGAGATGGCTATTTTAAACCTCCTCATAGGCAGGCCAACATGTACTGTTACTAGTTATCTTTTAATTCCACTAGTTTGCAGCAGAACTGTGAGTTTTAGGTTAATACTGCATACACAAGCTACATTTAAATCACATTTTTTATCCCAGGAACCCTGGGAACTATAGTTTATACCACACAGCAACCCTTCTGTTGGGAAAGCTCAGACAGTAGAGCATGAGACTCTTAATCTCAGGGTCATGGATTCGAGCATCACGTTGGGCAAAGATTCCTGCACTGCAGGGGCTGGACTAGATGACCATCAGGGTCCCTTCCAACTCTACAATTCTACGATTCTATGAATTCTCAGCACCTGCAGTTCCAATTATTCTTTGCACAAGATGCACTTTAAATGTATGGCGTGTATGCACTATAAACTGCTTTTTCTTTACCAATACAATATTTTAAGGTTCAGGCTTGATTTGTGACAAAACAGCAAGCATTATTCCTTTTGCAGGGGAAAATGTGTATTTTTTAAGTTCACAAGAAGGAGAGGAAGGGAAAATCTCCCTCTCTGTGGTTTACCATGGGGCCAATTAAGGTTTGCGTATCTGAGCTTCTGATTTGGGGGTAAATATATGCCATCTTTCTGGGACACGGGTGGCGCTGTGGGTTAAACCACAGAGCCTAGGACTTGCCAATCAGAAGGTCAGCAGTTTGAATCCCCGTGACGGGGTGAGCTCCCGTCGCTCAGTCCCTGCTCCGGCCAACCTAGCAGTTCAAAAGTAGATCAATAGGAAGGTAAACAGCGTTTCCGGCGGGAAGGTAAACAGCGTTTCCATGCGCTGCTCTGGTTCGCCAGAAGCGGCTTAGTCATGCTGGCCACATGACCCGGAAGCTGTACGCCGGCTCCCTTGGCCAGTAAAGTGAGATGAGCGCCGCAACCCCACCCAGAGTAGGCCACGACTGGACCTAATGGTCAGGGGTCCCTTTACCTTTACCTATATGCCATCTTTTATGTGCTCTTTGGCCTTAATTGTGGTGAATGTTCCTATGGTAAGAGTGTATGCATTGCTTTATTTTGCATCAGACATTGGTCACTCATTATTCTTATATTTTTAGAAATTGCTGTTTCTGAGTTGCAGAGTAGCTTTGAGTTAGTTGTCCATATTAGCACGTCAAAGCTTGGGAGCACCAATAAGCTTAAGGACAGCCTGTCAAAACTGGAAGCTGTGCCCCAGAAGCAAAACAGTATTCATAAAGCAGAGGTTCTACTATAAAAATATAAAAATAAACATATTGTGTGCATGCACTGTAAATGTATGCATGTCTCATCAAATGGCTTCTTGGGGAACTTGCTGCTGCATGATGTACTTAGGCTTCAGTCTTTTGAAGGGAGTCCTTTTAAATCCATGTGACATGCAGCTGCATATGCTAGTCACGGGGTGGGGGTGGGAATCCGCCTCAGACAGTTGTAGCAAACACGCTTAAGAATCATATTCTACTAAGTATTCACTTATACCAGCATGAGTACGTATTTATCAATAACTAGAAGTTGCAGTATAAGCCAATTACCAGCGGGGCTAATGAAGTGTTTTATTTCCATCTTGCATTATGCACAGCTTGTTGCCTTTCTCTCAGTCCAATTTATATATACTGATAATTAATATTGGTATTAAGGCAGGTCTTAAAACTTCCTTAACCAAATTCCACCCAGAGTTAATCAGTGCGACTCTTGTAACTTCAACCAAAGTTAAATTCTTAACTTTTGGGGGGGGGGCAGTTTTTGTTTTTAATTGCTGCTAGAGATTTTACCTCAATTACATTGTTTTTCTTTACTATCTCAGATATTATTTTGGGAGAAATATACCATGGAGGGTCGTGGCAGATATCAAGGTAAGCCAAAATCACAGGTCTTCGTGGTTTCTATTTTTGTTTTATATTGCAGATACTTTTAACCCACCATCCAAACCCACACTCACCTCTGCCTGGCAGAGCAGCACTGTCACAACCACAGTACCACCACTTCTGCTGGCCACAAGGAAAAATGCCTTCTTGCTATGACATCCCCTAGGTCTATTGCCATCACATAATGGCAGCAGAGCTGGCTCAAGGTTGAGTGGATCCTTTGCTGGCCCAGTTCCACCCTCCCCCAACCCTGAAATGCCCCACTTCAGGGAGTCCTGCTGACTCCTGCCAGTGGGGCCTCTGCCCACCTGCCATTTACATTGGGGCATTCCTGGTTGGTGTATCTGGGCAGGGCTGGGTGGAGAGACACCTCTGCTTCATCCCAACCTCCTCCAGTGTCATAGACTAGTTGGGCGCACAGGAATGGTGGGAAGAAGGTTCAGAGCCCAAAAAGTAGTGGTAGGATGGAGAAGAGGGAGAAGACAGGGGTGAGGTGGTGTCGGAAGCGGAAGATGTAACAGGGCTTAGTGAGCTGGGGGGAGTCTGTGGCAGAGAGAAGTCTGATCTAATTCTGATCAGAGGCAGAAGCTGAAGCAGGAGAGGAGGGAGGCCAAGAGGCAGGGATTATTCTGGTTGTTAAAGAGGCATCGGTGTCTGCCCCTCCCGTTGTAACAAGCATCTTTCTCTCCCCTGGTCTTCCAGAACCAGGAGAGGCATGAAAAGGGTGGAGAAGATAGCTTCACACAACCAGTGTCTTACATTGCTTGGGAAAGACCCTGGAGAGGAGGGGACTTAGGCAGCTATGGGGAGGCGGGATAATTTAGGAATAGTTTCACGACACTTTTTTTTTACGGCATAGTGTGACCTAGGGTAGATCAAAAATATACTCAGTAATTCTGATTTCTGTACAGAAGAGCAAGCAATGCGGAAGATTGATGTTATGGGACTTTTGACTGGCTTGGTCGCAATTGGAGTACTGTTGATCATAACTGGGTTACTTGTTTATTTTCTCTGCCAAAAGAAGTGCAAACAAAGACATCTACCACGGTAAGAAAATAAGTTTTGTAATTTCCAACACTTTGTTCAGTGTATTCAAGTTTGACATGGAAGTTTCTGTACCCCCCCCCCCAAAAAAAAATTATGGGTGCAGTATACAGTGGTACATCGGGTTAAGAACTTAATTCGTTCCGGAGGTCCGTACTTAACCTGAAACTGTTCTTAACCTAAAGCACCACTTTAGCTAATGGGGCCTCCTGTTGCCGCCACGCCACCAGGGCACGATTTCTGTTCTCATCCTGAAGCAAAGTTCTTAACCTGAAGCACTATTTCTTCTGGTTTAGCGGAGTCTGTAACCTGAAGCGTATGTAACCTGAAGCGTATGTAACCCGAGGTACCACTGTATGTGTGTGCTGTATGTTTACTGCATTTTGTCCCATTTGGGTTTGTGTTGTGCAGATATTTATTTATCTGAAGCATTTGTACGCTGCTGTTAGCCAAAAAAGCTCCCAGAGTGGCTTACACACAATAAAAACAAGACAGTCTCTATTTGGGTGACTTACAAACTCAAAACATACAAGGGAAATAATGAACAGCTGGCGCAGCTCAGGGACAGGCAGTTCATGAAGGAGCCCTGCTTCCTATTTCTCCCACTGAGGCAGTATGATGGAATGGCTGCCCACAGATGACAACTGAGGGGAGATGAGGCCTGATGGAGCTGTCCTGTCACAGCAGATTCAATGGAGTGAGCTCTGCTTCCCAGCTCTCCTCCCACTGCTGGAATGGCTGCCCCCAGGAGACAGCCTTACTGTCACCTTGGTGATATGCCTTGGGACTTAAGAGAAAAAAATGGGAATAGGGTATGACTTACCAAATAATCTATGGATTTCGACTTGAACAGTTGAATTCTTCATAGCTAATATATTTTTAAAAATAATCCTGTTGTATCCTAATATATGGAGATTTGGATGGAAATAAGGTATATGAAATTGTTATGACCATGGAAGAGCATGAAGATCAGTGGGCAAAGCTAATTGCTGAGGTTTGTGGGAAAGAGAAAGGCAAAATCTGGAGTCAGTAACAGGGAATAACGAACAGAAACATGGGGAAAAGCCTTATACTGATTCATACCATTGATTCATCTAGCTCAGAATACTGACTGCCAGCAGCTCTCCAGAGCTCCTGACAAATTGTCCCTCAGTGCAATTGTTACGAATTGTGATGTGGGAAGGTGACAGTACTGGCATCTGTGACATCAGCACACACAGCCCCGGCCTACATTTGTCCATGACATATGTACTCTTTTAATTCTTCAGAGGTGATGTGCCCTTGTCCAGTGCTGATCCATATGCTTTAGTAAAATGGGTTTAGGGAACTATACCAGCACAAATGAATACTGTACTCCCATTCTATGCCACCCTGTTCTCTGAGCGGCAAACACTAGCCACTGAAAACATTGTACTCCCAAGAAAGTGTAGTTCAGGTTCTTCTCTCAAACGAAGTTTTGGACTCTTATACTTAATCACCATTCTTAAAAGTTTTGCTTTTATTTTAGGGATAGAAGCTACAGGAGGCGTAACTCTTCCATCATCTTTCAAAGACACGAAGAGATTTCCTTAAACCCTCTCTCTCCATGCACAGAACACAGTGGATTGCCAACTTATGAACAAGCAGTGGCACTAAGCGGCAATTGTGAAGTTCCACCGCCGCCATATCCAGGCCCTTCAAGAGGGCTTAGGGCATTCAAGAAGTCTCTCTCTCTTCCTGTTTAATTAAGAAACAGGGCTTGTAGAATGTTTGAGAATTAACTTGGAGAGAAGCTGTCTAGCTGAAATGCGGCAGCATTGTGCTTACGGTACTTCAGGAGTCTTTCACAGGGTGAAAGGGATACAGCTCTTCAGTGTGCCTGAGAGGAAGTGAAGTGTGTCAGGTGAACAAGGAATGCACCCTTAAGCAATGTGCTGATGGCTAAGGATGAATGACTCCTTTTGTTATGCTTCATTTTAGGTGCTAAGAACTGTAGTGAACTCCTCTGATGCATTCTGAGCCAATTGGTGCAATCAGTGCATTGATTTGCCAGCCTTTCTGTCTCTCACCAACTTAGCACTTTCATCATCAATTTTTTTTAAAGCTGCATTTTTTAAATTAAAAAAACACCAATTCAGATTGGTAATAAAGTGGGAATGATAATATGAATAAACACAGGATCCTTGCTTTGAACTACTTTTAACCACAATAAAAGGAAGAGCTAGTAACATAATATAAATGGAATGTTTCTCTAACTCTTAACAACTTAAACTGTGTTTTTTAAACTAGCAATAACAGATCTTTAATTGAATGGTGCTTCCTCCTCATTTGCCTCTCAGTGCGCATTAAATCATGAATCTTCATGCATCCGATGAAATAGGCCTTAAGTATTACCCCAAGTTACAGGTACATGAGGGGAGAAGGAAGAAGAACAGAAGCTGAGAAAAAACATGCTACAGTATTAGCAGTGGCCATTCACAACACAGTCCTGGTATTGGTTAGCTCATTAACATGAGGCGGCTTTATTAAAACTTACATTGAAGCCACTGAATTAACTGTATGTTTGCATACAGGTTGTAAGTGCAGGTATATTTGTTGCAGAATACTTACACAAGTATCTTCTCTAATTCTGGGAGCAATGTTAAACCAAAGGAGCTAAGCCGCTAAGGGAAATGTGAAATAGCTACTGCCATGGGGTGAGGAACAGTGCATGTCCTGTTTTCAGAAAAGAAGCATGTACAATATTCTGTTCAAGCGTTTGATTTCTCCACCTACATTCCAAAGCAGAGAAACAGTTCACACCCACCCACCCACTGGAAACTGTATGAACTTTGGGGACATTTTACACATTACCCACAACAACAAACCGGAGGCTCTCCAGCATGTACACTCTGCAAGCAGAAACAGCTAATCTTGGCTTCCTGGATGAGACACGTGTATGACACTTCTCACGTCGACAGCTTTAAACATTCACAGTTTTGTAAGCTGGTAGGCATACAAGCTAAAACAGTGAACGAGGGAGAAAATAAAATCTGAGGAAGGAGTGTCCGCGTGGCTCCAGAACTTCTAGCTCAGTCACGGAAAACCATTTTCACCTGCACACAAAAAGATGGCAAAGCATTCTCCACCGCACGGCGGCCAACACGGGTCCTTACTGCAGCCCCTCCGAAGTATGCAATCCCCAGTCGCCATACCAGGCTTCGGCTACCCCGAAGCTTGTCCGTATTTAGGGCTCCTCGGTTATTGCCCGCATTCTGACGCGCCGCCTTTCCCGGTTCCGCTCCGTAGGCCAAGCTCACTCCTTCCTCCCTTCCTTCTCCCGCCGCCGCTACGATTACGGATCCTCGGCGGCGGCGGCGGCGGCAGCTGCTTCCCGTGCTCTGGAGCCCCAGTAAACTGTGGCGGGGGTGGGAGGGACATCCTGGTAAGCAGCAGCAGCAGCAGCCCAACATGGGTCTTCGGCTGGGCTGCTTGCAGCCGCCGCTCCCCTAATTACGAGCCGCCCTCCCGCCCCTCGCGGCGGAAACCGAGGGGAGGGCCGCGTCGGGGTGGCCGCCGCTGCCGCCCTCCTCCTCCTCCTCCTGCGAGAGTGAAGGGGGGGGAGTCTCTCCCACCCGCTCGGTCCTTGCAGCTGCAGCCGCCGCCGCCAAGCAGCCCGCCCGCCTCCGCCCCCTTTCCCTTCTCCCCGCGCGCCCAGGCCCCGCGCGGAGCCGCGGCGTCCCCTCCTTTCCCGCTCCGATGATGGACAGGAACTACCCGGCGACCCCCAGCTACCCCGACCCGCTGGCTTCGGTCGCCGCCGCCGCCGCGTCCTCGCCGCCGCCCTCCGCCTGGGCCTACGAGCGGGGCGCCAGCAGCCTCAAGGCCAGGTAAGGAGGGTCCGCTCTGCAGCCGGCGGCTCGCCTGCTGCGGGGGCTGCGCCAGGAAAGGCCGGGGATTGGGACGAGGCCTCCGGTGCCCCTCGCGCCCGCGGGGCGTGCCCGCCGCTCCTCGAAGCGGCGGAGGCGCCGGCGCTTGGGGAGGCTTCCCTCCTCCCGAAAGGAGAAAGCGGCGGCCGGCAGCCCTTCTCCGGCGCTGCGGGGGCCCAGGGCGCCGTGGGGGTTTGGAGACGGGTGTCGCGAGGGGAAGGAGGCTGGGAAGGCGAGCAAATAAGGGGCAATAAGAGCCGGTGGAGGGCGAGGAAGGCGGCTCCGTGGTGTAGGAGAGGGCCGGGCGGGGGGCGCGAGGGTGATTCGGGGCTGCCATGCAATCCCCAAGCCACGCTTCTCATTTTCTCTCTTCTATAAAATCACGCTTTCTGCAACTTGGAGCGTTTTTTCTTCCTTCCCCATCGGCGTGGGAAGCGGGAAGCCACGCATTCCAAAATTAGTCCTCCTTTTCCCTTCACCCCCTCCCCCATTAAAGTACATTTAAACTACTAAGAAAGCGGGGAAAGTTGCCCTGCTTTTCGTCTCCTGCTCCCAAGGGGTGTGTGTGTGTGCGCGCGCGTGTTCACCAGGCATGTTGGAGTTCAAGAGTTCGTGTTTACTTTTTACGTTGCCTAGGGGAAGCCCATCTCATACTGTATCAACTTTTTGTGTGTGTCGTCTTTGAGATCTTTGGAGGAAAGTGGGGAAGGCTCCCCCACCCCCATATGTATACAGTCAATCCTAGTGGGCAGAGCGAGGCTTTAAAGGTGTGGCGCAATTTGTTAAACGGCACAGTTTACAGAGGGAAGGAGTGTGAAGAACAATACCGTGTGCTTTGGAGGTTGAAAGCGCAGAGTTGGCAATTGGGGATGGGCATTTCTAACTCTGGATGATCTCATCTTAAGCCACCAGAGTGTGTTTTGGGTTCATCTCATGGCTTCCCAGCATCCTCGCATCATTTAGATTTTATTACGTTATCTATTGTTTTACTATAGATAAAGGGTTATGGATGTTCTGACTCTTTATGCTGAAACTTGCCCAAGAGCATAAAATCCCCAGGGGTTTAACGGAGTAAAGCGTGGAATAATGAATGTGATCCTTTTATATTTCCTTTTGTATTGCTTTTTCATACATGCTGGCAAAGGTGCTTTTACCATGCTGTGAGTATAGTAGCTTGCCCTACGATATATATTTTTAAATGTAGGTTTAACTGTATATTTAAGCAACTTGTGCTTCTTAAAACAAGTGAGGGATTTTGCATGTTGAACCTGAAATCCGGATGGGTGATGGTATGGAACCGGTAGGACCTGCAACAAAATGTTGCAGTGGATCTCTGAGCTGGAACAACAGTGGGAGAAATTGGTATCTCCACCAACCAATCTTAATTTATATTAGCTTTTATATTTTGATGACTTCAACCAATTTTGATTCATTAAGCAAATTTATAGACAGCTCTTTAACATTGACCGAGGAGCAGTCATCCAGGTGCCTCCCCCAATAATCCTTTAGTTTGTTTTAACTTAGATGTAAGAGATTTTTTAAGAAAGTGCTGTAATTAAAAACCATGCTCATAGGCGAAATCAAAATAGGTGTGTGATGCTTTAGCCCATGAGGAGAACAAGGAAATCTTATTTGCTGGCAGTCAGGCTTTGATAAGCTTGCAAAGCTTGATAATTCCCTGCCTTGCAAGTCAGTCCAAGCCTGCTCACCAGCAAACTAAGAGGAGAGTGGGAGAATGTGAACAGAGGAAGCTGCCTTACACCTGCTCAGGCCATTGGTCCACCTAGCTCAGTTTTGTCTACACTGATGGGCAGTGGCTCTCCTGGATTTCACACAGGCTTCTCTCCCAGTCATACCTGGAGATTAAACCTGGGACTTTCTGTGTCCAAAGCAGATGCTCTACTATTAAACTACAGTGGTACCTCGGGTTACATACACTTCAGGTTACATACGCTTCAGGTTACAGACTCCACTAACCCAGAAATAGTACCTCGGGTTAAGAACTTTGCTTCAGGATGAGAACAGAAATCATGCTCCGGCGGTGCGGCGGCAGCAGGAGGCCCCATTAGCTAAAGTGGTGCTTCAGGTTAAGAACAGTTTCAGGTTAAGTGCGGACCTCCGGAACGAATTAAGTACGTAACCCGAGGTACCACTGTACAGCCTTTCCCCACAAGAGAATTTTCATTGTTGATGGCCAGGCTCAAAAGATCATGGAGATGGTAAAAGCTGATGAGTTAAAAGTTGGCAAGTGCTTTGTCATGTGCTGCATGCTTTTTCTCATCAGGGGCTCTCACTCGCTCCCATAGCCAGGACCATGTAATAACTCTTCTTTAAGTCGCTTGCCTGATGATAGGTAAGGACAAATTGAGGGGAAAATATGTACAGATTTCTTGCTTCAAGGGCCCCAAAGCGGAAGGGTAACTGAGCAGGGGTGTTAGGGGAGGGGTAGTACCTATGGTGGGGGACATGTTGTGTTCCTTCTGGGGAGGTTTGTCCACCTTTGATCCCTATCCTGCACTCAGCTCTCACCTGTGGCTCCCAGAAGCTGTCGGCAGGCGATAGCAGCCACACCAGGGACGCGCTTCGACTGGCCGGATAAACCAAGTGAGGGGTAGCTGATGGATCTCAAACCCTTTGTGAGTTAGAGGCTTTCCCACATGTGAAGACAGGCTCATGTGGATTGAGCGGATGAGACCAATAGTGGGTCTGATGGTCAAGAAGTTGTTTTCTGCACATGCTGCATGTGAGTGGCAGATGGGGCCTGTCAACCTCGGAAGGTAGCCCATCTTAGAGAAGGAAAACTCTGGTCCTAAACTTATGGTTACGGGGTCTTTTCAGGAGAATAAAAGGCTAAGGAGTAAAACCCTGCAAAAAAAACCTGGAGTATTTGCTCTGCTTTCCTTTGGCGGACCACATCAGCAAGGCCGAGAATGGGGTCTTGTCATCTGAGCAGCCCAAGACCTCCATACACATACAAGGCTTTTGCCCTTTGGAGGTCACTTCAGTCCTGCTAACACAGCAGTTTTACTTCGCCCCCAGAAGCACACTCCATTGTCTCTTGAGACAGATAGATGCCAACAAAGCTGTATTCATGTAGCCTACATTCCATAACATGAGGGCAATGCACTGATGCAGTCCTCTGTCCCCTTTTGAGGAGGATTTCACCTTTTGGGGAAGGAAATGTGTGTTTGCATATATTCTGGCTTGCTCATGGTCCTGTTTTGCCTTCAACAGTAAGCATGGGGCCAGCATCTTTGCAGTTATAGGGAGCAAGTGGGACACCACAAAAAATGTAGTATATTTTCGGCTCTTAAGAGAAGTGCTCCTGTTCAAGGAACCACCCAAGCTGGACCATGTAGCACTATTCAGACCTCTAGGGAGGAAGGTCATCTTGCCCCTCATGTCTTCCCATGCTTGCTATATGGTGTTAAGGGAGCTCAGTTTTGGGGTTGATTGGTAGCTCCAACCCTAAGCATTTTACTGTCTTATGAAGGAGGTGAGTGGTTCTGGATAACATTCTTTTATTCCATCTGAATCCTGTACAGCCCAATTCCATGCAATTCCATAACCTTCTATAAGCAGCATGAGACGTGAACAATTTCTCCCCGCTTTTTCATTTCCCCCTTCGCCCCAACATTCTATGTCTCTTCTGGTTTACTAATACAATCTGCCTAGCTTTTGCTTCCATTAGGCCAATTTTTCATTCTCTGGAGTAAAGTGGCTGCAGTTCATAAAAGAGGGTAGAGAAATCTAGGATTTTAGCATAGGTGTGATTGCCTGCCAGCCTCCCACCCCTCAAAAAATAACATGTGACAACAAATATAGGAGTTCTTGCTTGTAGAGTTCAAAGTGAACACAGAGGTTGCCTTTCCAGAGAGAGAAGTTATTCTATATTTTATTTCCTCTATTTCCTCAGTGTTCTGTAGGTCACATGTAGTGATGTTAAATTCTCGAGAATATTCTTTTGATTCCTCAAACATCTTAAGAGGATAAGTCACCATCTTCGTCTCCCCTGGTAACAGAGCTTTCAGTTCCACACTGATCATCTGAGAGATCATAAAACAAAGTTGATGGTTGTGTAAAATTCAATGAGCTTGTTAGAAGCTGTGTTTTCTTCTCTTCTAGGAGTTTTAAGTTATGAACTACATATGTAAGCTTTCCTGCTCTGTCTATAGTAAGCCTATTCCTTTTTGCTGAATGAATAAGTCCATAACTACTGAAGCTACGTTCTGTTGCAGCTGTCGTTTGTGGCATATTTATCGTATTTTTCGCTCTATAGGATGCACCAGACCATAGGAGGGGGAGAACGGGGGGGATTTTTTTTCTTGCTCTCCCCCTCTAAAACAAGGTGTGTTCAAGGTGCATTCACCCAAAGCCTCCGGAGTTCCCGCTGCGCTCTGGAGGCTTCAGGCGGCTACCATCCCCAAGATAGAACAGCGAGACCGGCTTCAGGGACAGCCTTTCTAGCCTCCACAAGGCACCGGGGTGAAGGCACCCTGCTGTCCTGCAGAGGCTTTGCTCGCAGCCATCCCCAAGCTAGAAGAGCGAGACAGAGCGCTCCGCAGCACTCCGTCTCCCTGTTCTGGCTTTGGGCTTAGCCGCGCAGTCTGCATTCGCTCTATAGGACGCACACACTTTTCCCCTTAATTTTTGGAGGGGAAAAAGTGCGTCCTATAGAGCGAAAAATACGGTAAAATGTCCACAGCCACTCTGCTAAGCATTGAACCAAAGCATGGTCCCTTCCACCAAACCACTGTATCCACTTTTTCAACCGACTTCAATACATATGACTTGCTAAAAAAAAAATCTTCTTTAGCACAATATACTGCCAGCTCTGCCAAAATATCTTGTGCATCATTTGGTGCACTTGCTGATATTTTGAGATCAATGAACTCAGTACCTTGAATTTGTTCATTTCGTGATAAATGAACGCCATTATACTTTAGATCAAGGATATTTGCAGCAAAGTGAATTGGCCTCAATGCCATTTCTTTCCTTTTCTTTTCTTAACTACCTCTTTCATCTATTTCTCTTCTTGCTTTATAAGGGGGCTCAAAGGCATCACTTTTCAAAGTGATCTTCTAGTTCTTTAAATGACTCAACCACCCAACCTCAAACCACCTTGGTGTGTCCGATTCTAATAACATTATCCATTTCACTATTGGAGCAATAAGGTCATATTTTATTCTTCCGTTAGAACGTGTACATGTTATTGGACAAGTCAAAAAATGCAATTGGCATGTTAAGGTTTGATACAAGTAAATTCAGTAATATCACAGCTTGACTTATTATTTACTAGATTTTTTAAATGTGGGTGGTAAAACTGGTTCTTGCATTAGAATTTAGTTTGCGGAGAATATTCTCCGAGAGAATTTTCTAGCAGAGAATATTCTCAAGACTATTCTCATTCTCGAGAATATTCTCACCTCACATTACTAGTCACATGACTGTCAAAATTCTTTTAATACAAGCACCTCCCCACTTACTTTGGGTTTACATTCCAACCCCCCTCCATAAGTGAAGTCATGTAAGAGGGGAGCACTGTCTAAACACCTTTTAAATGCTCCCTCTGCCACTCTCTCCAATCCAGATCAAAAATACTGTACCAAAAATACCCGCAACTGGAATTGAAACTTTTTTTATACACACTGGAAGCCGCCCAAAGTGGCTGGGGAAACACAGTCAGATGGGTGGGGTACAAATCATTATTATTATTATTATTATTATTATTAAGCTCTGGGGCCGGATGGAGGATGCATAGAAAAGCAGCAGCAGCAGCAGCGCTACCCCCCCCAGCTGTTAAGTGGGGAGGCTGAGCAGCGTAAACAAAACAAAGCCCCACTGCGCCTCTGGTCTCTGTGGGGCTTCCTCTGCCCTCACTGACATCCACTTTGGGCTCCAGGTGGGGTCTCCATGAGAGCCATGAGGACTCTCCAGCTCTCTCATTTCTGGGTATGAATTGAATTATTTATTTATTTTCCATGGCCACATGCGAGTAGAATGTGCATAAGTGTGTGGGGGGGGTGCCTGTATATATATTCATATGCTAATATGTAGCAAGGAAGTCCTGTAAGTACATACAAATCGCTATTTTGGGGTGATCCTGTGTCATATTAAAACTGATAGAGAGTTGACTACCTGAGCTCCTTATTAAGAGGGGGGAAAGTGTGACCTGCAACAAGATGTTATAAGATACTTTCCTGTCCTAATAGGATCAGTCCATTTTATGGGCTGGCCATGCCCTCTTATAGCAAGTTGTTCCATTTGCCCCTACCCTGGTTTTTGCATTGCCCCTGGTTTTCCATTTTTTGTTTTCCAGGTAAGAGTCAACATTCATGGCTACTGCGTATGGTTGTGTTTTTTAAGCTGGTTTATTTGTGGGTGGGGGGTGCACCTCTTAGGTATTGTTGATGTTTTATTATACTTTTTATACCTTGGGAAATCCGCTAAGCATTCTTTAAAAATAGAATAAACCAATTTATTATTATTATTATTATTATTATTATATTTAGGGACACGGGTGGCGCTGTGGGTTAAACTACAGAGCCTAGGGCTTGCCGATCAGAAGGTCTGCGGTTCGATGGGGTGAGCTCCTGTTGCTTGGTCCCTGCTCCTGCCCACCTAGCAGTTTGAAAGCACATCAAAGTGCAAGTAGATAAATAGGTACCCCTCCGGCGGGAAGGTAAACGGCGTTTCCGTGCGCTGCTCTGGTTTTTCCAGAAGCAGCTTAGTCAGCTCTGGTTCACCAGAAGTGGCTTAGTCATGCTGGCCATATGACCCGGAAGCTGTATGCTGGCTCCCTCGGCCAATAAAGCGAGATGAGCGCCGCAACCCCCGAGTCGTTCACAACTGGACTTAACTATCAGGGGTCCTTTAACTTTACCTTTAAACTAATATTTAGAAGAACAAGTCTTGCTGAAGGAGAACCAGCATTGCTTCTGCAAGGGTGATTCCTGTCTCACTGACCTTTCAAGAGTTCTTTTGAAAATGTCAACAAACCTATAGAAAGAGGTGATCCAGGCAGCATTGTATTCTTACACTTTAAAAAACTTTTAATTAAGTCCTTCACCAAAGACACCTGAGAAAGCTTAGCATTCATGGGCAGGTCCCATTTTAGAAGGGAGTGATGATGTTGATGAGAAGCAGCTGTGATTTGGCTGCAGAGAGTAACTAGGAGATAATCAGATCTGGGTGGGGTTTTGGTTTTTTGCAAATCAGCTGTGGAGAATGTGCTTCAAATTTAAAGTAGTTTGACTTTCTTTAATCTAGATGACAGAGGTGTACATTATGAGAGCTGACAATTCAATGAAATACTGGTTTGTTTACACAGAAGACAATATTTACTTCCTGTGTATCCAAATATATCACATGTGGTGAACATTACTACCTGTTGTGCCCTGAGATAATAGAGCATTTTAGTAGCTGCCTACTACTGTTTGCACTGTACTATTCATGTACATAAGATTGGGCTTAAGAGTCCTATCAGCAACACAAGATGTGGTCACAATTTGATACTTATGCTGATATTAAAATAACATCAAACCTCCGGGTGGATGCAGCAGGCACCATAAGCATTTCCTCAAAGCTCTGTGTGGCAGATACAGGGTCTGGTGCCACATTGAGGTTACCTGTGTGCTGTTACTTGCCCTTAAAGAGTAAGACATCCTAAGGGCTGCGGAGACATCCTAAGACATCCTGGGGATTTTTTCCTTGGCTTTTTAGTGGTATTGATAGTAGCAGACAGAAATGGTTCTGCTCTACTTACTAAGCGTAGAATCTAGATCTCTAAGTATAATGCAAATTACCATTTGTGCAGTATGGTTGGGACTGCAAGATAAGTAAATGTTTGTTTTTTTCTGTCACTCAAGATATGCTTTGCAGACAGAGATGTCTGTTAAAAAAAAGTACAGTGGGCGTCATTTATAGCTTTGCTTGGCAGATTTTGAAATCTAGTATCCAAAAGACAGAGAAAACAGACTTGATCATGCAAGATCCTGTGGATGATGAGATTTGAAGTGCTGTTTCTTCATATGAATGACAATGGAGCAGAGTCAAATGTCACCAGAAATCTTGGTTTTGTTTGTTTTTTGAGCAAGCTAATACATCTGTTTGTTCTTTTTTATAAAAAAAGCCAATGCTTTTGGATGCATGACTTCTACAGATTCTGTCTTCTTAGTTCTCTTATTTACGTATGTTCTAGCAATTTCACATCCCATATGAAGTTGAGAGGAGAAACTAAAATTGTAAATAAAAATATATATGTGCCTGCTGTGCATCATATAATAACACATATGTGGAGAAGCTACGGAAGTCACTGTATGCATGGTTTTACCTTATTTCTAAAGAAGAATTGCTCCTGCCAGTGGTCTCAGGCATTTACTACAGAGATTGGTGATTCTGGTGAATGAGGCAGCTATATTTTATTTCAGAGATTTTATTTAATGCTTTATCTAACTTGTTCCTTCCAGGGAACTCAATGTCTCTTAAGTGGTTATTCTCACAACAATCCTTTGAGATATGCTTGTCTAAGGGATGGTTACTGGACTCAGCTAAAAAAGTGCCATTCAACCCCAGGCCCCTCTCGTCCAAGTTTGACGCACTATTCATAACACTACATTGGTGTTTTGTTTGTTGAGGTTTTTTTCCTGTGCCGTAGTAACATGCAAAATATTCAGCATGGACAGGGTTGCCTGAACTCAGGTGAATAGGGACTGAGTTGCAGGAAATAGGGAGCTGAGAAAATCAAGATCGTCTGACTACTTCATGAAACGCGTGTCAGATTGCTAGTCTTCTGGACACTTTGTAAATATATTTAAGGGCCTTTGGCCTTTTTGCTTTGTTGCTTTCAGATTGTTACAGAATAAATCATGGCATTTCCTGATGGATTTTGCCAACTTAATTTTTGCAAGGCTAGAGGCAACAGGTCTAATATGAATTAAGTTTGGCGCTGTCATTGTTCCCATTGTCTGTGTGCAATAGCCCATAATGATAGTGGGGTCATCCAAAATTTGTACTTTGGGCAGATTGTAAGTGCTGAAAACTAAGTGAACTTGCTCCAAATTATATAGTGCAAAATCTGCCAGAATGCCATATCTTAGTACTTACCTAGCAGATGTGGAGAATATACGCACAGTTTCAGATGCAGCAGCATAAGACCTCTTTAGCTGGCATTTTGCTTAAAAACGTTTTTTCTTTTGGCCATGTGTTGTTGTTTTTCTTAAAATTGTTCATTAAGATAAGTGTACCGTCAAAAGTGGTATCAGTTCTGTACTGGTTCTAGATTCTGTCTCTGCTTTTCCAATTTTCTTTTTTACTCTTTGTTAACCAGTTATAGATAGGCTTTCCAAACTTGCAATTCCTTTCCTTTTGCTGAATTTGTTTATTGTCTTGCAAAAACACCTGTACAGTATAGTATAATTGCACTGTTTTTAGATGCAGTAGAGTTGGACAAGATCTTGAAAACCACATTACAGTTAAGCACACTTTTGAAATTATCTGGGCATACTTTGTTCTCTCTCTCTCTCTCTGTGTGTGTGTGTATATATATATGTATAGATAGATATAGATATAGATATATTTTTGAAAAAGGTAATACTGAGTTTGTATTGGTTTTCTGAGGTGACCATTAATCATCTTTCATAGCATGTTTGTGAACTATTGGTTACCCTGTATTTTATTCCATCTTGGTGTACATAGGGACAACAGCAAGTTATTTGAGCCTAATATGCTGTATATTTTCCCAAAATGTATGACAGGTAATAGTTAATTCATCCTACAGAGGTGAATGGGGTCCATTGACTTTTTTTTTTAACATAGCATATATAGTTTGGCATGATACTGAGAGGGGGGTAAAGCCTGGCAGTAGCCCTGGGCCAGGCTTCCTCAACCCCAACCCTCCAGATGTTTTGAGACTACAATTCCCATCATCCCTGACCACTGGTCCTGCTAGCTAGGGATCATGGGAGTTGTAGGCCAAAAACATCTGGAGGGCTGAGGTTGAGGAAGCCTGCCCTAGGCACTGGTGCTGGGGTGAGGCTTTGCCACCACCTCAATGGTATTTTCAAATTTAGCACAGAAATATATATGCCATTAGTAGCATATGTTCTATTCTGAGAATCAAAGCATTGCTGTGGGTAGAGCAGAAACAACCGTGTAGCAAAAATAAAAATAATGTACTCATTCCTTGTTTCTGATCATTGTTTAGATGACATTGCCATCTTTAAAGAATAAGTCCATTCATTTCTCTTCCTGGAAATCAGTGTCTTCTGTAAATAAATCAAATGTGTGGTTTTTTGCCAGGTATAGCCTCGACAAGCCTTTCTTTTGACAAGCCTTTCTTTTGTTCTTTAAGATTCGTCTGAGACACCATCATTTCAATTGGTTGGTCATCAGCTTCTTAGTAGAATTTATCCTGTGGGCCTACCTTACCAAAAGAATTCTTCAGAAAAGCTGTTCCTGCCCTTTGTTACGTTAATTATTGGAGATATTGACAGAGCAACTGGCTGCAGATATTCATTTGCATGCCCAAGGGAGTCATATTTGCTGTAGAGCAGGAATGGCTGGCTGTTTTTTTTAGTTCTGTATTGCTTTGTTACCACATGATGGGGGTCACATGGCAAAGGTGCTCAAAATCCTATCACATAAAGGAACTGAAATTAATTAACTTAATAGAAAATGAATTGAAAATGAATTCCCAATTACCCCTCACCATTAATTTAATACTGCCTGCCTTCTCAGTTGCCTTTTAAAGAACACACACCCAATTAATAATGCTCATCAAGAGTGCTGCTTTTTAAATCTCATCACCTTAGTTCCCCATGAGGCTGGTCCTTTAAAAACTACTGAGCACACTGCTGCTCTTCTGGAGTGCTAAAGGTAAAGGTAAAGGTACCCCTGCCCGTCAGGGCCAGTCGTGACTGACTCTAGGTTTGCGCGCTCATCTCGCTCAAGAGGCCGGGAGCCGGCGCTGTCCGAAGACACTTCCGGGTCACGTGGCCAGCGTGACGAAGCTGCATCTGGCGAGCCAGCACCAGCGCCACACACGGAAACGCCGTTTACCTTCCCGCTAGAAAGCGGTCCCTATTTATCTACTTGCACTTTGGGGTGCTTTCGAACTGCTAGGTGGGCAGGAGCTGGGACCGAATGACGGGAGCTCACCCCGCCGCGGGGATTCGAACCGCCGACCTTTCGATCAGCAAGTCCTAGGCTCTGTAGTTTAACCCACAGCGCCACCCACGTCCCATGTTCTGGAGTGCTAGGGACTGGGAAAAGGAGTGTGCACATGAAGTCATCCAGCTACCACTTCTGCCTGAGAGATCGAGTCTTATCCTTCATCAGTTCCATGAGTAGCAATGGCACTGAACAAACCATTGCCATTGAGAGCAGATCATGCCAGAAATGAAAAGAAGCACTTTGATCTGACCTGATCTGTTTTTTTTAAGAGTTCTGGCAAAGCATTGGAACATACCAGAATGCTCCTTCCTGTTTCTGGAGTGCTGTGAACTCTGCACCACCAAAGCCAATATCGTTTGGCAGAGCCAAATTTGTTTAGCAGGGTGTTGGGTCTTTAAAAAGGCTTATCAGGACATATCAGGCATATGGCCTGGTGGTACACTGTCACTGATACATACAATTCTTCATGAAATGATGGTACAAATGTACTATATACAGTTGTACCTCGGAAGTTGAACAGAATCCATTCTGGAAGTCCGTTCGACTTCCAAAATGTTCGACTTCCAAAGAGTGGCTTCTGATTGGCTGTAGGAAGCCCCATCGGACATTCGGCTTCTAACAGAATGTTCGAAAATGGACCACTCACTTCCAGTTTTTGATCGTTCGGGAGTCGGAACATTCAACTCCCAAGGCATTTGGGAGCCAAGGTACGATTGTATACTGTGTTAGCCTGGTTTCACATAACTAAAAACAATCTGGATGACAGTATGACTTGCCTTCAGTTGGACTGGGCTAATGGAATATCTGTAATAATACTTTCTATCCAGTCCCTTAGTTAGCCCTGATGCCTTTTTTTACAGGAGTTTTCTTCCCTCAGGCTATTGAAAGGCAAGTCAACCTAACAACTGAGCTTTCTGTGGCTTTGTTACCTATCTTCCCTTCAGCACCAATACAATCAGCAAGTGATGCTAAACAAAAGGTTACTTTTTTTCTCTCCCTTAGTTGAAGCACAATCCAAAGTTCGTTTTCTTAGAGAGAACTGGTATGATTTGGATTGCAGCTTTACTTAAATTAAAATTGAACCCTGGTTTAGATTGATAATAGTGCTTCTGTCACTCTTAACCAGAGTATTAAATGTTTTAGTTTGAGGGGGTTTCCTCAAATCCATGTCAGTTTCAGAACATTGTTGTTCCTCAGATGCTCACTGACATAACGAGCACATGTCTGGCGAGTGCTGGCAGATGGTGCAAATTGTGAGTAGTGAAGCTGAGAAATGTTCTTTTCCTTTCTAATCCAGAATTAAATTGGGGGGGGGAGTCTTGCCTCCCTACGGACCCAGATGGGTGACATAAGCCCTTTGTGTTTCTTAGATGTGAATGGATTATGTTGCCATCAGTGTAAGAAAGGGAAGTACAGTCATACCTCTGGTTATGTCCTTCATGTTACGTTCTTTCATGTTACATCCCGCGGCGACCCGGAAGTACCGGAAAGGGTTACTTCCAGGTTTCGCCGCATGCGCAGATGCGCAAAATGACATCATATGCATGCACAGAAGCGGCGAATCGTGACCTGTGCATGCGCAGACACGCCACTGCGGGTTGCGCTCTTTTCATGTTGCGAACGGGCAACCAGAGGTGCCGCTGTATAGGGGGCTTCTACATAAACTTTCTTCCTAATAGCAGCCCAACAATTCTCTCTCTCTCTCTCTCACACACACACACACTCTCTCTCTCTCCAAAAAAAAAAAAAAGCCACTGGAGGCTTCATGCTGCAGAACTCTTGCTCTTTTTTTACTGTTGGTTTGCTCTGCAGGTTAATGCCTGTGTAGGCTGTTCCCGCCGCCTCTTGTATCATTTTTGTAACTGAACTATCAAATTCAGCAGATTCCTGACATGACCATGTAGATTTTTCTTAAGGGTGTGTCTGCTTTGGATTTCTTAGTTTTATTAGCTGATGTAAAGAGTGGGGATATAAAAGAGATGACTAATTTTTAAAAAGTTTTCAAAAATAATATCATCTTACTTAAATGTAGATTTACTTCCGTGATGCTTCTGCCACCTGCCTCTGCCTGGTTTTCAGATTCCTCTTCCCATTGCAGAGATCTGTGCCACAACACAAACATTTGCTGAGGATTTTTAGTGACCACAGTTGAGAGGAAGATGCAGTCTCATTTCCCAGAACAGTTAAAATTCACACGACTCTAGATCGAGTCCATAATGCCAAATAATATGTAATGTATACAGTGCAGTCCAGAGTCTCCTAAGTTCTCTGCTCAAGCCTCTACATTCATTCATTGAGGATGGAAGTTGCTCCTTCCATTGGTGAAGGTGTTTATGTTCTCTTGATTTGGCTGTTTGCATATAAGTGCTCCAAATGTTTACTGGAAATACAGTATAAGTTTTGTGGAGTACAATAGTTTTGAGAAAGAAAGCAAGTTGAGATGCTGGTGCAATTCTGTTAGCTCTTTCTAGCAAAGTACATGTTATTTTAATAATAATGTGGTTTTGACCCTTCTGCTAACATTGGAGGTTCCCATAACATTCTCTTGTTTATTGTTAAACATTAGTTAGGCAGCACCTAAAGGAAGTGGAAAAATACTCAATTTGTTTTTTTTCAAATTGTGCATAAAGTAGTAGAATGACTAAGCACTTGTTTAAGATGTTCATAATAGTCCAATATGTGCCTTTTAGTACATTATAGATTTTCAAAGTAGAGTGATTCCAGTAGCTCAGTACTGGTGTCAAAAGCAAAAGATACTGCATAGTTTATAATAGCTCCTTTTCTTTTATATGACATACATGTTTCTGCCACACTAATATATCAATAATACCATTTCACATTAAAAGTACCTTATTTATGGTTACATTCAAATTGTAACAGATTTTAAAAGAAACTTAAGTATTTTTCTTAACATAACTTGCTTTTGCTCCTTTGTAACACAAATTTGAATTTGACATTTTTAATTGCCACTAAAATTATTGCTATTAAAAGTTGAGAACTAAGGATCATTCTTCAGTAAGTACTATGTTTTGGTTGGGCAACATATAGCCCACATCTAACCATTACATCTTTCATGTAGCATTATTTTCAGGTGGTAGGTATGCAGTCCCCACCACCACCAAAACAAACCTGTCCTGGTATATTTTCATGTTTGCATTTCTTAACAGGAACCTACTCTGTGCATAGGGACGCGGGTGGCACTGTGGTCTAAACCACAGAGCATAGGGCTTGCCAATAAGAAGGTCGGCAGTTCGAATCCCCGTGACAGGGTGAGCTCCCCTTGCTCAGTCCCTGTTCCTGCCCACCTAGCAGTTTGAAAGCACATCAAAGTGCAAGTAGATAAATAGGTACTGCTTCGGTGGGAAGGTAAACGGTGTTTCCGTGTGCTTCTCTGGTTTGCCAGAAGCGGCTTAGTCATGCTGGCCACATGACCCAGAAGCTGTACACCTGTTCCCTCGGCCAGTAAAGCGAGATGAGCGCCAGAACCCCAGAGTCGTCCACGACTTTACCTTTACGTTTACCCTGTGCATAGTCACCACTTCCTCTTGTTTGTTTCACCTCTGACGTGGGGGAGGCCAGACAGTCATGAAGGGAAATGTGGAAGAGGTTCATATCAGTGTCAAGGGGGCCACTGTCCTCTGGCAAGTGTGGTGGATCCTTGACCTCTTCCCCAACCTTGGAATTGGAGGGGGAAAGCAAGGATCCTCTTGCAGTTGCACTGCACTTTAGAGGCATTCAAAACAAATGTGGAGACCATCACCCTTCTCCAACCTACCCAGTCTTCAGGGTTAGTGGAGGGGGGGGAAGCTTAAGTAGTGGGAGTTGGGCTTCTGGGGCACAGCCCTCCCAAGGAGAACATCAAGCAAGCAAATTAAAAAAACAAAACAAAACAAACCCTCCCCAAATTTCAAAACCACATACGCTGCCCTTTTATTTTATTTGAACTCGGAGAAGCTCTGCAAACATTTTATGTGATTGAGGTCTCCAGAACTCAAGACAACTTTAATCCAAAAATATAGCTATGGATACTGCCCATATGTGTCTAGGAAGAAATAAAATAAGTCAAGGAAACAAATCTCTGTTTTGATATGTTAATGTTTTAAAAGTTATTTTGTTGGTTTGGTAATCTAAAGCAGCTTTCTTGGATCAGTTTGTTGATGCAAAGTTGTGTAAAGAATTGGCACTACTACAGATCAGTAACTCCTGAACCGCTAGAGTTCATGTTCTTTTGAGGTTATTTTGCTTTATCCCTTTTTATGTGATTGTCAGACTTATCGTTGTCATGTTGTTGTTTTCACTAATTTCATGTGTTATAACTTTTACTTTCCCCCCAGTTTAAGCTATGGAGGAGGGCATTCATCCGAAACAGATTTTCACAGGCAAACATATACAACTTCCCACCAGCTTCCTGCATACGCCACTACTTCCCTACCCGCCGGTAATAATTCTCTGTGAATCTTCAGTTTAAATGAATATGTTTCTCAGTTTTGTATAAAATCAGTTATAAATTTCTAGCACACTTCTAGCAGATGACTTAGATGCTCACAAGGGATAGATAAAGGAGAATGTTTTGAGGAATGTGCATTATCATTTGCACTATCCTGGTAGTGCTATTATGCACTTCATCAAATAAAAATTACTGGTCACTTAGTTTTTTAAAAACATTTCATAAATTAATGTTTTAAGTAATTTCTGTTTCCCTGTCACCACCTTACCTGCATGACTAGCTTTCACATTTCTGAAGAGTGTGAACCTTTTTTGGAAGGAGAGTGAAATGTACAGCTATTTTAAAGGCACAGCTACAGATAATCTGCTCACTATTCTTATGCTAATTACATTTAGATGTCAAGGGCTGTTCATGTGGACTGTTCAATCTTACAAAAATGCGAGTTAAAAGATGAGCATATAATTTATGTTGAAACTGATGGTGCTACAATTCACATACATTTGAAGTTTATTTAGATAATCTCCACTTCCATTATCCCAGTATCTCAATATATTCTTCTGTCTTTCGTCCCCCATTAATTCCTTGTTTGACTGAGAGATCGTAATTTACCGAAGATTAGCCAGCAAGTCTTATGGTTGAGTTACATGTCCATTGAATGTATGGCTGCACACTTAAATGTGCAGCATATTGTGTAATGTGTAGTTTTTTGTGCTCAGACTCATATGTGATTTGTTTGTTCCAGGCCTTTCTGGGATTTTTGATAACACTATGCACAGCAGCAATAACAACACTAAAGATACATCAGTTATGAATTTTCTCTCTGCAATTGAATCCCGCAATGCTCAGGCTGTTTCTTCAGGCACTACTCTCTTGCCACAGTTCAGAGCTCCAGCATGGCAGCCAGGTGACATTTTCCTAATTTTCAGAACTTAAGTCTGTTGTTTCTCTATAGATAAGTAAATATATTAAATATTAGTATCATAGAGAAATTAAGAGAGAATGTTTGTTTTTTATTTTTTTCCATTTTGCTTTGCATTTCTAGGGAAATATTTTCATTTTAAGTGTTCTAAGTCTTTGATAAACATCTATTTTGACAACCATATTTGCTTCAAAGGTACTGCATTTGTGCCTAACTGCTATTTGTAACTAGGTATTGCTCTTTAATCAGTATATAATCCAGTTATAAACACTTAACGTTGGATCTCTTCCTGCAAAACTGGTCTAACTTCCTTGCAGGACAAAACTGGTAATTGAACTTCTATGAAAATATTAGTCTTGGGTCAGTTTAACATGTGGGCTCTCAGGGCTGATGGTGTGTCCATATGCAGTCAGAAGTCCTTGGTGTCTTTGACCTATAAGTTTGCATTGCAAAAACCTACCAAAAAATCAGTGGCTTGCTAACATAGTTGCACACTTGTTAGCAGGGACCATCATGGTTGCAGTCTCTCTCCCCTGTGAACAATAATGTATAAATACAATATTGTATTTATTGAAGAACTTGCATGGTAATAAGAAGCACATCAGAAACTCCGAAAGACCTAGTGCCATTTAACTATATGTTGATAAAACACATAAAAACCCTAAAAATAGACAAGAATATGTTGTATATGTGTCACAGGTCACATCTAAGGCATTTAGCTAAAACAAAAGTCCTGGCATATTGTTCTCTTGAAAGAGGTCCTGAATTCAAGATTAGTGCTATTAAATCAGTTGTGACATCTCTGAAATGGAACATTCTTTGAAATTGGGCCAATTTTTATAGCAGTGGGAGAGTTTCGCAAACTGATCCTAAATAGAATACAAGTAGTTCGTATTGACTTCAGTGTAGTTTTAAATTGAATATATTGGTGGCTATTTTAATAAAGTTATTTGTATTTCTCCAACATAAAATAAATAACAGTAACACAATAAGAAGTAATAAAAGCAGTAGATTAGAATATTTTTAAAACACAACAAATTAGCAAAGTAAAATTTAAAAGAAGAATCCCAATGTATTTCAAGGGGGCAGGGAGCATTTCACAGTCTCGGTGCCTCTATTGGAAAGGCTCTGTCTCAAAAACCTTCCTGTTAATTTAGCATAATGTCACATAAGGGTGGGACCATGAGAGCCTCAGATACAGATCTCAAGTGACAAACAGGCTCAGCTGGGAGCAGTGGACCCTAAATTAACATGGCTCCAATATTTTTAGAGCTTTAAAGATTAAACAAGCAATTTAAATTGAGTCTTGAAACAGTCAACAAATATGGTTGATGCATAATTAGAATAATACACTCCAACCTCTGTGTCCTATATAACATTCTGGATTCCTTATTTTAGACCATTTGTAGTTTCTGAACTATCATTAAAGGCAGCCTCACGTAGAAAGCTTTACAACAGTCTGGCCTGGAGGTGCTAGCATGTGGGTAACTAAGACAGTACTGATTTCTCCAGAAAAGACTTTTAATTGGCTCAACAGTAAGGTAAAGGTAAAGGGACCCCTGACCATTAGCTCCAGTCGTGACCGACTCTGGAGTTGCGACGCTCATCTTGTTTTATTGGCCGAGGGAGCTGGCGTTTGTCCGCAGACAGCTTCCGGGTCATGTGGCCAGCATGACTAAGCCGCTTCTGGCGAACCAGAGCAGCGCACGGAAACGCATTTACCTTCCTGCCGGAGCGGTACCTATTTATCTACTTGCACTTCGATGTGCTTTCGAACTGCTAGGTGGGCAGGAGCTGGGACCGAGCAACGGGAGCTCACCCCGTCACGGGGATTCGAACTGCCGACCTTCTGATTAGCAAGTCCTAGGCTCTGTGGTTTAACCCGCAGCACCACCCGCGTCCCAACAGTGGCTCAACAGTGGATCTGCTTTAAAAAAAAAAGTGCTTATTGCCATTGCACCACTTGAATATCCAGGGAAAGTATCAGATCAATAAACACCCCCCCAGTGCTCCTGATCCAGAGTACAGTCTTACCAAAAACAGGCTCTATAACCTCTTTCAGATTGCCAGATTTATTGCACAGTAATATGTTAATCTTAACATGGATTATGTTTAGTTTGCAGCCACTTGTTCCTGAATTGTCACCATATATACAAGCTTAGAAGTAGGATAGCAGAGGCTACCCAAAACAAATTCCAGGAAGACAAATGATTTCACCATCCTCTTTTATATTAATAGAATATAAGTTTTTCTGGTTCCAAATGCAGTGGTTAAATAATTCTTATTAGGTCCAAGATGGAATAAAATGGTTATGTATGTTCTTATTTCACTATTGAGTAGTCACTCCCCTTTTTTATCAGTCTCTTTTTCCCCTTTTTTTAAAACAGGCATGCATTCGTCAACCGAGCTTTTTGTTACTGGAGCCTTGCCAGCCTCTGGGACGTTTCCACCAACTTCAGCCTATCAGCATCCTAACACTTTCAGCAGTAGAAACTTTGCTGCTACTCCTTCTCTAACACTTCAAGATGCAACTTTCAGTCCGACATCAAATGGTCTTCTTAGTGCTCATGACCCTTTATTGCAGATCAAGACATCCCAGAGCACAGTTCCCACAGCGCTGGCCTTTGAGCGCCTGGGCGGTTCTGTGTTAAGTACCAGCATACCACCACAATCTTCAACATATCGCTCTGCTCAAGAGTCTGCACCCCATCTCTTGCAGCCACAGTTCAGTTTGTTGCCTTCATCACTTGGAGGAGCTCAGCAGGCTCCACAAGTATATAGTTCACCTCTGTTTACTGGTTCCACTGCCTCAATTGAAAGAGCCCTGCAGCGAGAATGTAGTGTTATTAAGCACCATCAGCGGCCTTCGAGCACACAGTCTGTTCAGGCACAACTGACTGGTTCACAGCATTCCTTACACAACTATTTATCAAGTGCAAGTGGAAATGATTTTCAGGATACATCCCGTCAGTCTTCCCTATCTTGTAGCCCAGTCGATGATTCTACTCAGGTGAGCAATGGGAGACCCCAGCAAAAGACCTCTCAAGTTTCAGTAGAACTTGCTCAGTCATACACATCAGCGATTCCATCACCTGGTTTTCCATCTGTTTCCACTGCAAAAGCAAAACACTGCTCTACGAAGCAGCCACCAAGATCAACAAAGACTCCTAAGCCACAAAGCATTTCCCCTACTGTGCAGACACAAAGCTTTTCCAAAACTGCACAGAGCCAGAATTCTGTAATAGCAGGTCAAGCACAAATCTATTCTACAGCACAGCTTCCAAGCCTCTTGTCAGTAAGCCAATCACAAAACTATGTTTCAACGCAATCGCAGAATGTGCCACCGGTCAGTCATGCACAGGTATTCTCAGCCATCAAGGTTGAGAAGCTGCCACCACTGTACAAAACACTCACTTTTCCTGGGCAATCACAGGCAATTACTTCAGATAGCCAGACACTAAGCTATTCTTCTGATCAACAGGTATTAAGTTCAATTTCAAATGGCAATTACTCTGGGCAAACGGATCTTTCTTCAGTCAGCCAATCTCAAAATTACTCTTCTAGTCATTCTCAGGGTTTGTCAACCATTAGCAGATCCCAAGGTAACTATTCATCTCAATCACAGGTTTTGTCAGTGGTTAGTCCTTCAGAAACATATACAACAGGGCAACCTTTAACATTAACGTCGCCATCTCTTCCATATTCTTCTCCACATGTTCAGAACTTGTCAGCCTCGAGCCCTCCCCAGAACTATATTTCTTTACATTCTCAGGCACAAGAGCCATCTTCTCCACAGTCTCAAAAGTTTTTACCAGTTGTCCAGTCAACTTCTTTTGCGATGCCAGCTCATTCACAGGCATTGCAGAACAACAGGTCTTCCTCAGATACTAAGTTATACATCAAAAGGGAATCTGACCCTAACTTATATCAAACGTGTAAGCAAGATGAACAGTTCCCAATGCAAGATATGCAGGCATTGCAACAACAAACATCTTTGGATTCCTCTACTCAGAGGCTAACCGATGATGAAGTTAATGCTCAGGATACAAATTACAAAGTTTCCAAAGCAGATAATAGGTATTCTCAAAGTGTAATCAGGAGTAACTCCCGTCTTGAAGATCAAGTTGTTGGGCTTACTTTTCAGGGATCAAAAAAAGACGAAAGAATGGTTAGTTCTGTGGCACAGCTCACCCAGCAAATTGGCCATATCACTAACGTAGGAAGCCATGATATTAAAAAGGCAGCTAATTTATTGCCAACAACCCAAGTAAATGTGGATTCTAAAGAACTCAGCCAGCAGCATTCTCTTCTGCATAAAGTACGTGAAGCGAAAGCATCAGAGCAACAGGGCCAAGTCATGAGCACACCACCACAGCTTCACAGTCAAGCCATAAGACATGGCCAGCAGCTGTGTTTGCCTGGTGCACAGGTACTTCTAGAATCTGCCTGTGATTTGCAAATGCTTCAGCAGTCAATACTACAATCTGGCTTGGGCCACACGAAAGGTTCTTCACAAGTCCAGCAGCGCCTTCAGGGTTCTCAGCAGGTGACTCACCCATTCCTTCACATAGATGGTCATATGATTCAGAGTAATGGAGGACATTCTCAGCAGCAGCTTCATTCTCAGAACTCTGAAGTTATGAAAATGAACATTTCTGAACCATCAAAGCCACTACAGCAACACTTGACATTGAAAGAGAATTTTGTGCGGCCAGATCATGAATCTAAGAATCAGTTTGTTTCCCTTAGTTCTGTATGTTTTCCAGAGTCTATGCTTCTCAACGATGAGAGGAATATACTGTCTAATGTGGAAGATATCTTGGCAGCAACAGCTGCAGCTTGTGTAGGAACAACGTCTGAATTTGCCAAATCTACGGCTAATGAAGAAAATATCCAGTCAGTTGAAAATGGGGACAATTCTAAGTCTCAGTTCCAGGGAATGGATGTCAGACATGTGACTTCTAGCTTCAACAACTCATCAACTGTTGTTGGAAAGCCGCTGAACATAAACAGTGTTTCTTTAAATGGAGGCCAGGTTACACTAAACCTAACAGCAGTGCCTACGATGCAGCCAAAAAATAGGAGCCTTGAGCAACAACACCTTGAGACTCCTGATCACAGCATTCCCACTAGAGTTGCTACCTCAGAGCTTGAACAGAGGCATGAACAGGTTCCTGGCTTAGTTAAGCAGCAGTCTGGCATTGGTAATGAATGTGAAGATAAAAACGGTATTCATATGGATAGTACAATAAATGTAAAAGATATAGATCTTGTTTTAAGTAGTAGGGCTCGAAATGAGAGTGCCGCACCCCATGGTGTTTTTAACATGGAAAGTGACAACACTGTGACAGGAAACAAAACTAAAGTTCCACTGCAGCCAATATCTATGCAACAACCAGGTGATGAAAATGGCAGCAGAGCTGAAGGCAAGAGCCAAGATTTATCACAAGAGGAACTTCAGAAGCAAAAGGACAGGGGGCAAAATCAGCTTAAAAATGCCAACGAAGATGGCATGCACCAGAAGCAATTGAAGCGAAGTGGACAGTGCAAACGTCAGAATTCAAGAGGAACTGATGCTGCCTTGCCATATTCCCCTGCTTCTGAAAGCTGCCATGAAACTTACCAACATCAAGAGAAAATGAGGCAGAAAATAAAAGAGGTGGAAGAAAAACAGCCAGAAGTCAGAACAGGATTCATTGCATCTTTTTTAGATTTCTTAAAAGGGGGACCCAGGCAGCAGTTTTCAGCTCCTGCTGTGCGTGTTCCTAGTCGTGTGCGGAGACCTGTTACCCCTGTTGTTAGAGCACCTTGTCCACATCCACTTTCAAAACCTCACATGGCAGCAGCAGCACCTTCTGCCTCACTTGAGAGCAGCACTGAATGTTCAAACAGAAAGGGTGATGAAGAACTGAAGAAAAATTTGGAAGCATTGCCATCGTTTTCTTCTGATGAAGATTCTGTAGGGGCTAACCAGGATCTTCAAAAGTGCATCACTTCTGCATTGTCAACTTTGGACGATGCTTCTGATAAAAAGAAAAAATCAGGTAAAGATTATTCTGTTCACAATTGGATATGTGGATCTGGTTTTAAAATAACTTAAGTAAAAGATTCAAATGATTCGCTCTTGCTTATCCCAAATGCTGTAGACAGATATCTATATTTCACTGTTATTTAGGCAAAGCAGGATCCTGACAGGTGAAAATATACTTGGATATTTAGCTTTCTCGAAAATGGTTGTAAGTGTTGTCACATTCCACTGTCTGTATTGGGAAACAGTGGTTTTGGTTCAGTGCTGTGCAAACAGTTCCACTCATGCAACAGTGCTTCCTCCCACCACACAACCCTAAACTCTGTTCTAGAGGATCCTCTACCCCTCTGGATAAGATTTCTCCAGCACAGGGGCTGGAGAAGCCAGAAGAGGAATGTTTTTATGCACAGAAGTCTGCAGTGTAAGCTGCGTTGGATACAACCTATAGGCCTGATTTAATTTGGTTTGATATAAATTCATTCTGAAAGCTTAAAAATGTTGTAATATATTTATGTGACTTTACACAATCATTCTCTTCTTAAGGGTCATTTTAATGCCTAAGCTTCTTTTTATAAAAAAGTTTATTTTCCCTATTCACGGTGTATAAACAGTAACACAATGAGCCATATCCTATGCAGCACAAGATAAATAATTCAATATCTGTCCTTTTTATTAAGTAACTGTCCTTTTTATTTTAGGATGAATATTTTGTGTCCAAGTCTTACCTTTGAAAGTGTCTCCACAAAGCTAAGCTCTTGATCGTGTGTTAAGAGACAAATTCAACTTTGAAAAATCCCAGTCCACCTTAGATTTACCGCAACACATTTATCATACATATTAAAAGATGGGTGTGGTCTTGTCTGTTTGCATTCCCTTTTAGCACCTTGAGGATCCAATTTCTTCCATATGTAGTTCAAAGCAGCAAACCTTTCAAATTTGAGGGTGTCTTGATTTCTTTTGGGGCATGGTGTTGAAGCTTCAGTCTTTTTCTGGTATGCTGCACTAATTTTTAATGAAAAGTAAATATGTTAGACATACAGTAGCCTAGGATTTCAGATAGGGGATCCTCCTAATGTCATCAGTGGAACTAGCATTTTGTTCTACTCAGTAACAATTTTTAAGTGGCTTACGATAAGCTGAAAAGAGTTGTTAATTGAAATATGAAAAAATGCTTGGTTTTTTACTTCAGAAATGATCAAGACTTTATCTAATGCCACCACCAATACTGTCGTAAGGAAGGAATCTTCTGAAACAACTAGTTCTGTGGCAGATTCTCAGGTGAAAATGTGTTTAGTGCAACATGAGATGGGCAGAGTTCTTACAGAACACTTAGCAAAAACACAGGCAACTGCTGCAATAGAAGGATATATTGAGGACGACGACGGAGAAAGTGGAGGCGAGGGCGTGTACAGAGAACGTGATGAATTTGTAGTGAAGATTGAAGATATAGAATTACTAAAGGTAATCAATAATTTTGCTTTGAGCAATTTAAGAGAACACACTGATCGAAGAGTATTTCCTGCCATGTGTAAGATACCTTTTCTTGGTATCTTGTAGTTTTGACATTTTTGGTACTTTACTGTAAATATGTACAAATCTTTTCTGCTAACAAGGGACTAGCGTTTATAAATGCATATGTTACATGGAGACACAAATTGAGATCCTACTAAAACATTGTTTAGGAAATTTAACTGGTTTTGCTTGATATCTAAGTTGATAGACCATGGTTTGAAATTGGCCATTAAACCAGAAGTGGAAACTATAGTTTCAGTGGGTTTGTGGCGATTAGTTTTGCGTGATGCCTGAGCTGACAGGCTATAGTTGTGCCCATCACTCTCTTGAAAACAAGGAAGAAAACAGCAGCCCACACTCAGAACAACTTGTTAACTCAATATCATCTCTGGGGCAGATATGACAATTCTCATTGTCGTTTACTTGTATAGTGGTACCTCCGGTTGCGAACGGGATACATTTCAGAGGTCCAGCCGTATCCTGAAGTTTTCGCAATCAGAGAGACCGCTTCTGCGCATGCGCAAGTGGCAAAACACTTCTGGGTTTGCTGCTTTCGCAACCTGAAGTTTACGCTACCCAAGGGTAATGTAACCTGACATTCTGCTGTATTCAGATCTGCAGTAAATACTGTTTGGTTGGGTTTTGATAGTTCTATATAATTTTAGAGCATTTTCAAATGGCATTATTAAAACATTAAATTGGGGGGGAGGTGTGTGTGTTTTTATTTTATTTTATTTTATTGAATTTATATACCGCCCTATACCCGTAGGTCTCAGGGTAGTTCACTGTAAATATCACAAATATGAGATATTTCCATTTGCTGTTTAGTTGTCACGACTTCAAAATAATGGAAGAGGGGCTTGTGGTAGTGTGGTGCAGTGGATGTAGTGCTGGGTTTTCCCATGAGAAATATTATGTTCATGTATACCAGGGGTGGCAAACCTGCTGTGGCCTATTAGATGCTGTTGGTCTCCCATTCCCATTGGCCCCGCCAGCATAGTCAATAGGGATGATGGGAGTTGTAGTCTAGCAATATTTTGAGGGCCAAAGGTCTTAATTTATATGCTTCGGAAGGCCCACACCCTTCAGTTTGACCTTCAAGTGGCAATTGCAATCATTACAGTATGTGTTGAGAGCTGCTATGGAAAACATAAAATACTGTGTAAAATATACAAACTCATGAAGGTAGGGTGCAGTTGGAACTAATCAGCTGCATAAAACTAATTGAAATGGTTGCTTTTATTTGCTTTTTCCCCTTGCAGGTTGCTTTAAAAACAGGAACGGAGCCTCCAGCCATCTGGAAGGTTCAAAAAGCTTTGTTGCAGAAGTTTGTTCCTGAAGTGCGAGATGGACAGAGAGAGTTCACAGCTACTAACAGTGTACGTACAAGGATTCCACATTAATCTTGGTACTCAGCAACAAAGAACCCTGTGGCATTGTAGTCACTATGATAATAGAAGTTCTTTCATAGACCACGGGTGGCAGAAAGGAGTGTTCCTGCTGCCACCTCCTCCTTCTCCCCTTCCCAGGCATTCATTGCTTGCTCCACTCCTTGTTCATGGCAGCCATAACCTGCTGTGATGTGCAAATCAGGTAATGTGTGGTTACTAACTGTAATAATCAGAAACCACTTGAAAGGCCACTGGGTCTTTTATTCCCCCACTGAAGGATCATTTCTAATTCTCCCAACTGTAAATGAGCACCCAATGCCTTAAGCTTCAGAAACATAGGCCAGGCACATTACATATTATGTGCCTTTGAGCTAAACTGGTGTGTTGAATTCTATCAAAACCTTCAGGCTAAAGGATGTGCTTATAAAAGAGTAACCTATTAGACATTCTTCTTACTTAGTGATGAATACATGATCTAAATTTTATATGCTGATTCTTTTAACTTGGAGTGTGTGATAAGCTTAACTCTATTTGGTTGCATCAAGACTTTTCACAAGTGAAAACTCTACCCATAGCATTGGAGGGGATCCCGAGGAACATCTAGTCCAACTCCCTGCAATGCAGGAATCTCAATGCATGACAGATGGCCATCCAGTCTCTGCTTAAAAACCTCCAAAGGAGAAGAGTTCATCACCTCTTGCGGGAATCTGTTCCACTGTCCAACAGCTCTTACCATCAAACATTTTCCTGATGTTTAGTCAGAATCTCCTAAATCCATTAGTTTGGGTCCTAGCCTCTGGAGCAGGCGGAAACAAGCTTTTCCCCTCTTTGGATATTTGAAGATGGCTATATATCTTCTCTCACTCTCTTCTTTCCCAGCTAAACCAGCTAAACAACCATTCCTCATATTGTATTTTTTTATATTCTGAACCACCCTGATATCTAAAGATGAAAGGTGGTATACAAATTTACTATAAATAAATAAAATAGGCATGGCTTCCAGACCCTTGATCATCTTGGTCGCCCTCCTGCATATGTTCTCGCTGGTCAATAGCCTGCTTAAATTGTGGTACCCAAAATTGGGACACAGTACTCCAGGTGAGGTCTGACCAAGACAGAATAGTGCCCTTGATCAGGACACTATATTTCTGTTGATACTGCCTAAAGTAGTGTTAGCTCTTTGGGGGGGGGGGCTGTGCATTATTACACTGCCTCTCTTGGGCTTAGTTCCCACCTACTTCAGCTCCCCCATGTTACATCCCAGCCCTTTCCTGGAGGACCCTCAGGAGGGATAGATGCCTTGTGCTCACACTTATATCTAGACGCAACCCATTATTTAAACTTAAATATAAATTATCCTGTACAAAACTGAGTGCAAGGATCTGCATGTACTATGTCTGCGTTTTTTCTCGTTGCAGTATCTTGGATATTTTGGAGATGCAAAATCAAAGTACAAAAGAGTGTACGTGAAGTTTATAGAAAATACAAACAAGAAAGAGTATGTCAGAGTGTGTTCCAAGAGACCCAGAAATAAGCCTGTGCCCTCTGCAAGGTATTTTATTTTGATAAAATAAAGTGTCAAATAGAAAAGCTTTAACATTTGTAGATTTTAATAGAAATATTTTGTATTTTTTTTACAGCAGACATCCATAATATTTATTTGTAGTTGCAACAAATAGAATAGACTGAAAACGTGGACTGGTTTGCGTAATTACACACTTTGGGCGTGCATGGTTCTCTTCCATGTATAAGAGGAGGAGGGAAAGTATCTTCGCTCACTTTTGACTAAACCATTGTTTCCCATTATGTACAAACTTTGGGAACTGAGGTTTAGGTAAAAGAGAATATGGAACTTTCACTCTCCTTGTGTACAATGGAGAACAGAACGGGAGCATCTTGGCTCTGAGTCCTGGAAGACCTGCTCCCTGCTTTACTAGCCTTTTTCCACCTGGTTTGGGAAGGCGGGGCCCTGACAGACTCTAGCTACGAAAGCTGAGGCTGCTGAACAGACTCTGGGGTTGGAGTATTGCTTTGGGGGTTTTTTGTTGCTGTTATTGCTACTAATTTTTGGATCTTATGGTTTATTATGGTTGGCTGTTTTTTGATGTGCTTTGTTTATTGTTTATGACTACTTATGTTTATAATTATGTGAATCTTTTCATGTTGTAAGCTGCCTTACAACTGAATTGAATTACAAATTGAATTATGATGAGCACATGGCCCTAAGACTCTCTGCAGCCCATTGGCAGTGCTCTAAACCATAGTTGTGTGATGTTGTTCAAAGAATCGTTTTTCCCCAGTCAATAGCGTCATTCTTTGGGTTTCCTCTTAGTTCCTTCTGTGGAGTTTGGTTGCTGTTAAATGAGAAGCGACATTCCTTCTTTCTCCCATTCACAAAATTCTACCAGTTAGTCTTTCAGCAGCTAATGGTTGGGTGGGAGCAACCTGGCGTATGCATGAGTGAATTTGAACACTGGTGAAACTCGTACTCGCAAGAGTTCTTTCATTTCCTCTCGCTTTCCATTTGTAGGCCTGTCCATTGTAAGCCAAGCACTAGCATCAACAAATCTCCTGAGCCTCCAGCATCAAAAACTACCCCTGCAACAACAAAAGTATCTGTAGTGAAACCCAAAGCTAAGCAGCCAAAGATAAAGGCAGAACCACCACCAAAGAAACGGAAAACATGGAAAGAAGAATTGCCCCCTGCCCCTCAACTCCAGAGTGACGAGGAAGGTAAGTGCCACAATGTCAAAACTAGGTGTTCTGATTATGTAATATCTTCCAAAAAAATTAATAAGCTTTGCAAATTTCTCAGCAAAACTTGGTGGAGAGGTGCTAACTTGATAGGAAAACCTCATTCTTAATAAGTGCCCTGAAGAAGGTTGCTTTTAACTGAAACACATTGGACTTTATTTTGCAAAAACTATATTTTGTAAAGATTTATTACTGGCAGCACTTTGAGGCTCAGCCTCTTTCATGGCTTCTCTTGCTTTTGGTGCTGCTCTTCCTACCCCCTTTTAGTAGAATCATGGCGTCACAAAATGTCATTTGCCGTTTTGTTGCATGGTAATTGTGAACATTTCAAAGCCACCATTTGTGAAAAGGGCAACTTTTTTTATATTGCTTCATAACGTAGGATGAGTAGTCTTATGGAGACATTGCCAGCACACATTTACTTTGCATAGGGAGGAGGGAAAGGGCTGCACCTCTTGGACCCAGCTCAACATTACCAAATGTTCGCTTGTTGAGCTCAGTGTCTATGAAGGGATGCTTACATGCATACATGTATAAGCACCCCGAATGATCGGGAAGCCCAATCACATGGAACGCCAACACATTTGCAACTCTTTGTAGACAGCATGCTCAAGAACACATAGGCATCTAAGAGATGAGGCAGGCCGTGTTGGCTTTAGGGTCGGTCACACTCTGTGGATTGGTTTGACCTTTGGCAATTTCTGTCAGTCAGAAAGGTTTCTCCCAAGTCTCCACTCCACTGTCCTTATTAGGAATGACTTCTTTAACATTTAATTTTAAGTGGCACTTGCAGTGTCTTTGGGCATTGGTTAATTCTTCTGTAGCAGCCATGTTATTGTCAGATGTTTCATTTAGGTTTTCAAAGCAAAGGATGCTAATTTTCCAAAATGAAGAAAAAGTTTAGGCTTGAATTTGAATGCAGTATAATCATAAAAACTCCTCCTAAGCACTTATAACTAATCCAGTAAGAATCCATATTTTGTTGTTCTTGTTTAAATTATTTGAAGCTTTTTTTCAACTGTTAAGGATCTTAACAGCTCAGTCCTTACTAAAATACAGTGGTACCTCGGGTTACATACGCTTCATGTTACATATGCTTCAGGTTACACACTCTGCTAACCCAGAAATACTGATTCAGGTTAAATACTTTGCTTCAGGATAAGAACAGAAATCGGGAACTGTTTCAGGTTAAGAATGGACCTCCGGAACGAATTAAGTACTTAACCTGAGGTACCACTGTAATGCATACTAACCATCTGTATTTCTTTGAATGGTCACTAGAGGTCACCAGAATCGTAATAAATTTCTAGGCCTGTAAACAAAATGCAATTGGAACAATACATTTGTATTTCTGATACTGTATTTCAGACACTGCACCGCCAGCTCCTATTATTGCTCGATTTTTGAACACCAGAGCTATGAAAGAAACATTTAGGAGCTACATGGAACTGCTTGTTAGTATTGCCTTGGATCCAGATACTATGCTGGCGTTGGAGAGGAGCAATGGTACAGTGTGTTCAACCTTTCACTTTGTGTAGCTTATTTCTGTTTCCCATATGATATCTTTGTTCAAGGAACGGATAAGACATCAGCTTGAGATCACAAGCATTTAGAGTTCAGGGGTCCCAAACGGTAGTCTGTAGATCACTGGTAGGGGCAGCCTTCTAGAGGGGCCACATGCCAGTGGCAAAGATGGGTGGGCAGATTTGACTCTTTGTATTGTAGGCTAATTCCAGTCATGCAAAAGTCAGGTTTCTTTACACACATCCCTCAATCCTCCCCTCTAGGCAAGCAAGAGATCTTACTTGTTTAGATACTTCTTCAAACCGATTATCTAAGCTGTATACAGTAAACTCCAATATATAAAATACAAAATAGGTTGAAATATAAATTACAAATAAAGATTAACTTGTTTGAGTCATCTGGGTATATTTTACTGAGCTTGTTTGTGACTCTTTTTCTTACCTCTTTCTGCTCCTGGCTAGTGCTTGCTTTGCTTTGAAGTATCATACATTGTGTTCTGCTTTTTCAGATGAGCTGCTTTTGCCTCATATGAGAAAAATCGATGGCATGCTAAATGACAATAGAAAAAGGCTGCTGTCCAAATTGAGCTTGGAGCGTTCCCTCAAGGTATTGATAGTTAAAATGGTTTTATTAATTATTTACTGCTCTTACATGGCTTGAGATCTTTTGGGAAGTGATGTCTAATCATACAAAGCAAATAAAACAGCAGTGCAAATTCCTATTGGATTTCTTGTATATATTTTTATCCCTTCAGATAAAAATTGCCCAGCTATAATCCTGCATTTTCAGATGAAAGGGAGACTTCCTGTAAACATCAGTTAGCATAATATGAAACTATATCTTACCTTAATTGGGTAAATCACCTGAACAGGATTAACTGAATGTATTTTTAAGAACTTGAATAACAGTAATTGCTCCTGCATTCTTTTAAAGACTTATTTTATCAAAGAATTCTAATAAAATTTGTTGTTTATTAATTTGACGTAGTGGAATCCTGCACAGTGTAAATTTCTGCCTTTTTGCTCTCTTCTAAGGCTGCTTTGGAAAGCTTCCCTGAACTGACCGTAATCAATCGAGATTCTAAAACAAAAACTGGAGTGAGTGTGATTCCTAGAATCAAAATGAATGGCAAAGCTTATAACAAGAAAACACTGAGGATTTCTAAAGCAGCCTCAAAATTAGCACAGGTATGTGTTTTTTTTAAGTGTTTGGGGGTGGTTTGCTGCTATATTTTTAATGGAACACTAATATCCTTACTAGAATCATCTTCTTTATATGCATTATCTAAAATGTGGTACTAAACTTTATGCTTTCCAGTTGTGGATTTTCAAAAAGAAGTACATAAATTATTTAACAGTAGTTAAAAAAATTATTTGACTTGTTTCATTTCCTTTGATCATTATCCTTTGAAGCCCAGTAAGAAATTGTATTCTTAAAAAGGTAAATATGTTGAAGTAGAAAATAGAAAGGGGGCTCTCTGAAGGAAAGATTTCACAACAGGAGGTATTCATTTTCCTTACGAATGAGCCGTCACACAAAAGTACTGACCTACCCCCCCTTTTTATTTGGTCCTACATGCACCTACCCTGAGAGTTGGTAAGCCCCAGTGAACTCAAATGGGACTTCTAAGTTGATGTGCAGTCAGATTTACTGTAAGCATCTCTCTCTGATGGTTCCTACCATTATGGCTGATAATATTGACAAATTTCTTTATGGCTTCCTTTGCACTTACCTTGTTGCCTTTTTGAACCGCTACATAGTAGCTTTCACATTTGACTTCTACCTGTATCAAAACATGTTAATACTGTAGGTAAGCAACTGCAGTGGTTCTCCGAATCTCTGTTCCAAATCTGTGCCTCTGCAAGCCCTAGACATTGAACTATCTGGCAAATATTTTCCCCACTGAACTGCTTTCGTTGAATGCCATCATAAGGTACCCAGGTGGTAATGATGGAAGACATTTCCTGAAAGGGTTTTTTTATCAATATAGGAAACGGAAATAAGTAGTCTGCAATTTGAAGTGGGAGAGAAAGGAATATTAGGGAGATGGGGGAGTTGCAGCAGCAAACTGAAGGCAGCTGCACGGTGATGTTTGGACAGAGGGAATTCAGCGCAAGGGGGTGAAATGCCTAAGAGAAAATAGAATCTGAGAGTGAACAAGAAACAAGCATTCACCTATTCATCCATTGTGATATCTGAGAAGCACATCAGAGGGAGGAGGACCCAGGCATCATCATCAGACAGGGTAAAACTTAAAGGGCATGAAATTGACATCCCAAGCCCTGTTAAGCTTTACTGGGCAGAATCGCAGGGTAGTGTTAGCTGGCACTAAACTGGGGCTCCCATTATAAACTGGCAAGGGTGAACTCCATTCACAGGAACTGGGTTATTTTTGCCAGTCCCCCTGTGTCCCGTGAAAAGCTGCTATGGAGGGTGGAAGAGCCACTGGAACAATGTGGGAGGATGCACAGGGACTGCAATGGGAAGGTGAAATACAATGAGCAGTGCCTCCCTCAGCCCCCTTTCCAAGAGTCACTGCTGGATCTCAGTTCCATTTGCGAACTGAAGGATTAATCTAGACCCAGGCCTTTTGTGGATGAATGTATTCACAAGTGCATATTATCTCTGAGTGGTCAGAATAATTATTGGTACCAGTAAATTCATCAGTTCATAGTTAACTTCATGGCTAATAAAAACTATTTTTCTCTGCAGGAGTTTGCTGTAGATCCAGAAAAGATATCATTGTGCTCTTTATATCACTCACTCCATCATTACAAATACCACATGTTTCTGAGGTGTAAAGTTGAGGTCAGTTTTTATCAAGTCGATGATAGCAATTTTTTAGTTTTTTCTATCTGATTCTGTTACATTTATCTATAAATCTAGGAGTAGTTCATAAATTCTGAAATAAATAAAAATCATGCTGTGGAAGTTATACTAGTTATAATACTAAGATTTGTTGGTTACAGTAATATGGGGTTTTCAAGAGCTTTTGTGAGCAGGAAACATTAAGGTTATTCTGAAAGCTTCTTAAGTCATTGAACAATTTCTGTGGGTTGAAATGAATGCAGGTAGCTCAGACAAAAGGAAAAACTTGCCAATTTTATTTATGGTATTTAGTTACTTTTATACAGGGTTGCAATAGAAAAACACAATCCATACCATAGTAACAAACAAAATCAATACTCCCTGCTGCCACACACACACAGAGTTTAAAAGACCATAGATTGTATAATTAGCCAAAGGCCTGAAAGAAGAGGAATGTTTTTGCCTGGTGCCTAAAGATATATAATGAAGTGCCAGGCAAGCCTCCCTAGGGGAGCCACCACAGAAATTCCCTATTCTTGTGTTCCTGCCTCTGGGCCTCCTGTGACTGGGGCACGTGAAGAAGGGCCTCCGATGATGATTGCAGGGTCCCAGTTGCTTCATAGAGAGAGAAGCGGTCCTTGAGGTAGTATAGTCTTAACTGTTTAAGGCTTTATAGGTCAAAACCAACAGGTTGAATTGGGCCCAGAAAATCATTGGCAGCCAATGCAGTCGGGCTAGATTGGTATTATATGGTCAAACCATCTTGCCCTGGTAAGCAACCTGGCCAAAGCCAATGGAAGGCACTCTGCACCACTGAGGTCACCTGAGCCTCAAGCGACAGCATTGGGCCCAGAAGTACTCGCAAGCTGCATACCTGCAGGGAGTGTAAAGTCGTTAAATAATATTGTAGGTTGTTCATGAGTACAGAAACAGAGCTTCAGCCAAGGAACCTTCTTGGCTGTGTAAGGAAGTTCATTAGTATCAGTGCATTGTATTTTGTTTATGAGGTTGTCCCTTGGTCACAGGTGGTTTGTGGGTGGCTGAATAAATCCACTAAAACATAAGACCTCTGACTTCTGAGAGTATTGAGAATGAATAGATACCTGCAAACTAATCTCCTGCTTCCATTGCTCCTCAATAGATTTCTTCCGTTCAAAAGAAGAGTGCAGATCTAGGCCAGGAGGAGATTGTACAGCAATGCATGAAAAATATGAAATGGGTAGAAGACCTCTTTGAGAAGTTTGGTGAACTTTTGAATCATGTACAGCAGAAATGTTTATAACAGACACTGTCCCAAATGTTACATTTTTTTTCCTCTATAGCACTCATCATGAGAAACTGAAAGGTCAGAGAAGCTCTGGTTAATCTGGTCATGCCAGACTATTCTGAGTCTGAGGAATCTGTGGTGTTCTTGGTTCCGTGGAAAAATTATGCTGCCATGAAAATGGAACTACAAATGAACCTCACTGCATTTTTAATCTGAAGAATGATTTTTTTTTTCTATTTTGTAAACTCTTGTATTGAAATGACAGGTTTATTTTTGAAATGATCAAAGCATGCACTAAATATATATTTTTGGGCTACGGTGAAAATACCATGGCTTTTTCTGGCTCTGTACACTAGGAAGAGTCTAGGTGGTAAACAAATATTTACATTTGTCTGATCAAGTAGAGTCTTCTACATTTTGCAAACAGAGCTAATATGACATGAAATTCTGTACATGAATAATCGCCATCACAAATTCAGAATTATCATTCTGCTTTATGGACTCCTTTTACTGCTGTTATGTTCAGGAGACTGAACATGGAGTTGGTGCAATCCTTTGACAGCTATTTTGTGTCAAATTATATTGTAATGAAAAACAATGACTTTAACTATTTCCCCCATTTTTTATTTTGAAGAAAAACGTATTTTTCTTTATACTGTGCTTTTTTTCCCTTTGGAAAGAAATCAGTTGTACATTTTATCTCACAAATAGTTGTATTTTTCACAGAGAAAATATTGTGGCTTACAATTGTTTTGTGTATCTTTGTAATACACTTTTCATGGTTTTCAGTAAATTCTGTTCATTTTTATATATTAATTTCATATTGTAAACTATATCTTAAGATGATCCTTTTGTTTATACAGGTTTCCTCCAGTGTTAACCAGGAATAAGACATACTAGACTTTATAAGTTTATAAGTTAAGTTGTGTTTAAACACTGCATTTTATTTTCTGATAAATGAAAATAAATTTCTTACTAAAATAACATGAATAATTGAAATTTTCATTGAATAGCTACTACATTTCTCTTCTGGATACCGAAGACTGATGATTGGATAGACTATATATGCAGTGTTAAACACAGCTGACATTTTTTTAAAAAATGGTAATGGCAGAACTGTTTGCTTCTTGGTGCCTTTTCAAATCCTCAGACGTTCTTTTGTAGTTGTCTTTCTCAGCTGGGTTATTTTTTTAATCAGTAGGACCAGTAGTCCCACTTAGACTACAAATGTGTTAAACTTGGATCAGTAGGAAAATTTCTTCATCTGCCAACAGAATGCCTTACCTCAGTCTTGGATTCAAAATGTGTAAGTCCTCTGCTTGGATTTGTAAAAGGACTAAACGTATTGTACTTTTGTCAGATAATATATATACATAAATATATATATATATAATTCATTTGTCCTTTCACTGCCACTTAGTGCCTTAATTTCAGCCAAGAAAGCAGGATTCTTCATTCACTAGCCAATCAGGATATTCTTGTATGTAGCATGGTGTATTTTCTTTAGTTGTACATATGTTCATTGCACCTTAGATTTGTAAAGGATAATGAAAGGCTGTGATCATGAATTAAACTAGGATTTCAAAATATCAAAGGACAACATTTTTGATCTTGATACCTATTATGTTGGTTTACCTCTGCATTTTCAAAAGGTTTTTATATTGTAGGATATGGTGGTACTTCATTTTTCTGATGGTGGGAGGGAAATGCAATGAAAATTTTGGTAAATTTCTTGTTGATATTTGTCTTAAAATATCTTCATACTGCGCTTGCCTTGAAAAAGCCAAGTTGTATTACTGTGACTGTGATTTTGCTGTATCTCTGCTAGTTCTGTAGAAGAACTAATGGTCTAGACTCAAACTATACCAGTGTTAGGGCTGCATCTTGATCCTCTTCCAAGAAACATTTCAGGCATGAATCTTACCTGCGAACAAAGAAGCGTGATACTGCTGGATTATGTTGGAAACCTCAGCAATATATACATACTCCCTGCAAACAAATGTACATCTTCACTCATAATTAAGGCTGCAATCTACTTGCTTATCCAAGCCCTGTAGAACTTCTGAGACTTTCTTTTGAGCAGGCATCTGTAGCATTGCTCTGTGAGAGTATGTTGTGTAAGGAAGATATTTGAAAGTCTTTTTATAATGTAGATGCAGTATCCTTGGGGCCATCATGTAAATAGCCTGCTCAGCTGGAGGAAGATACTACCATACTTCTCATTTTAGAATTGAAATACTTAAGAACCAGTCACTGAAGGTTCAAAGTGCAAAAACAAAATGTGTTCTTCTACAGCAAAGTAATATACATCTCAACACAAGCGTACACATATATTGGTTTAATAATTAAAGTTTAATGAAACAAAAGAGCTGGGGTTGCCCCATGTTGTAGACCCAGGATGAAAGCCTATGCCCACTTACCTAGGACTAAGTCTTGTTTAAATCATTGCAACTTACTTCTGAGTAATTGGGAGGATCGTGCCGAGTCGGTGGCAACTTTATCAAGTGAATGATAAATAAGAAACTTTCTCAGGAATATGGGAGTAGAACGGAAAAGACAGTTTTGTATTGCTAGATGGGTGTTCAACTTCCTACCCTCAGAGAACTCTTTTGCATCAACTTGTTTGCCCTCCCTGTGTTTCAAGAAATGCCTGAACGTTGCAAGGAGTGTCTGTTCTAGGGTACACAACTTCATGTTGAGCATTGGTGAGGCCTATTAGGCCTAATCACTGTCCCACATGAAGTGTGGACATCTTGGAACACACCCAATGTCTTCTGTGACTGTGGCGCAGGAAAAGGTCTGCAGCTGTAGGGGCCTGGGTATATTCCTAGGCACAATTGCACACCATCATTTCTCTCTTAATTGAGAAGCCTCTAATTAGTTTTGAGCATATTCCATGGTTCCTGTAAACAACAGAGAACATCACCATGCTAGGCAGACAGTGTTTTATGTATCCAAAATTAAGCAAGTTTAGGAGAATGAAATGCCATTGGGAAAATAAAATAAAATGTAAGCAAAGATTTTAGGCATACCAACAGATTGAAGAAATTTGCCTTCACTGTAGCAATAATTGTGTATTTGTTGCATTCAGGGTATATGTTTTGTAGCTATGAAGGGGCAGAGTAACAGCAACGTTACTTGAGAAATACAGTTATTTGCTCAGAGACATTTTCTAAATATTCTGGGATGAAAATTGAACATTACTCGTCTTAGACAACCGCCTTGTGTTTTCTTCCTTCGAAGGACACCCCCCCCCCTACAAGTAGCAATTTTGAGAGAGTGCTGGATATGCTTTGGAGAATTGCCAGTGCGCTTACAATAAGTAGAGTTTATAGGATTTGAGCAGCTGAAACCTCACCTAAATACAATATATGTTGAAACCGTTCAGACTTTCTTCCACTTTGTATTTAGGATTGTGATGTAGCTGATTTCAACAGGATACATCAATAGGATACACACTCGTCACTTGTGTCTCTGCATTCTCATAATACTGCAAGAATGTGGAACTGGCTGGCTACAGATGCGCATGTGATTTCCAGATATTCAGTACCCACTCAAATGTATAAACATGAAGTTCTCATTCTTTTTTAATTTATCAGTGGGGGCAAGCAAACAAATCGATAACACTGTGCTAAACTAAATACTTGGACCTGCATATTGGTAATCCAACAAACATTTGTTTTGTTTCCACATCTCTAAATGATGTATATCATTTGATTATTCCCCTCCCCTCCTTTTAAGCCTCTGTTTGCATCAAAAGTGATACAACTGGATTGTATAGCCTTCTTTAACAGAACATTGTATCATTTTCCTTTTGCTTTAAGTAATATATGTTAAAAAGGAAACTCAAACTGTCTTCCAATAAACAGGTCTTCATAGAGGAAATATATTTTAAATATTTAAAATTTTACTACTATTTAAAATAATTTAAATAGTTTAAATAATTTAAACAAGCCAAAACTAGGACATTGAAAATCAGTGTATAGTAACTTCAGATTTGTTAATGGCAATTTAACATTTTTCATCCTACACTAACATACATTTTTGTAGTATTACACAGTGCACTTCCTTCTATATATCAATGCTATTTAAGTTAATGTTCACATTTCATTCACAAAACGCATAGTAATATCTATCCTTTTATGTCTTGCAAACATTTAGGCCAGGACTAATGAGAGGTGCTTTTTTAGTCCAGTTTTCAGGTGGTCCACAATAATGTATAAAGCTAAGAAAAAGAAATCACATTTTTTGTATTGTTGATTTGATGTTACTAAGCTCATTAAAGTAAAGACACTTTTTTCAAAATGCTGTTTAGTGGTTTATTAAGCTTGAAAACATTAAACTGAAAAAAATGGGAGTGACTAAGGCAAGCGGCTTTGTTAATTTGCAAAGTACTCCGTTAGTATAATGATTCAAATATGACTCTCTTGGAGACCAAATGGTGGCCACAGTCTTCACATATATGTAACACTTGCATGCATGCACATATAGCCGATTTCCCTACTTTTCACACATAATTTAGCTGTGCCACATTGTAAGTTGCCATTGGAAACTCAGAATTCCTATAACGTGGAAGTGTAGGGTGCAGTTGCAAAACATGGGAGAGAAACTGCTGCTGAATATGCTGTGGTTCAAGAATTGGCAGGAAATCAAGACATTACCACTTCCTCAACGAGGTTTTTTTGGGGGGGGGAAAGTGTTGCAACTGTTAGTTTCACCTGCTTAAGATTTTTTTTTTCTATTTGTGCAAACGTTCCCATTATTCATCAGTAGCCCCGTTTTGAGTTACATAACCATTTTAACTCAGCTCCTGAGTTTGCTAAGCCATTAATATCTATTATAGTTGCCGCCATCTTTATCTCAGCTGCACATTTATATTTTTTTAAAGGGGTATAGCCTCAAGAAGCCCCAAATGACATGAAATGTCTTGTTTTTGGTGGCTTTTTTCAATGCAGCACCCACCCACCCACCCCACAAGTTTGGAATTCTTATTTTAATTATATTGTAACGTACAC